CTCGATAGTACAACCAGTATTGCCACATAGAAAAAGCCCGTTAGTACAAGCACAAGGTACTACCTCGTCAAACTCGCTCCCATAACCCTCTTCATAATCCACTTTCAAAAAAATTTCCATTTCCACCACCATCTTATGCATCCTCGATGTACAATATATCACCACAATCAATTCAAACTTTACCAAAAATCCCTAGTGCTGACAGATTGTGTAGAAGGCAAGGAGGTGACTATCATAGATCAATTTTAAACAAATTGAAATTTCTTAGATACAACATAGTATTCAATTTCCCAATGAATAGGCCATTGGGGGGTAATAAAATTAGTATAAATAATAGTATCCAACCAGAGACAGACATTATAGAGAGTGATGACGAAACTGATGAAGACAACTCAGATAGTGAGGATGAAAATAAAAATGGTGCAGATGAAAGTGTAAAATCCAATAGAGTTGGTAATGTTTTAAAAAAATCAGATACTATAGATTTGGTTTCTAATAGTAATGCTGAATTTAAAATTAATAACCCTTTAAATAATGATAATAATAGTAATGAAAATACAGATAATATTAATATTAATAATAATAATAATAATAATAATAATAATAATAATAATAATAATAATAATAACGCCACTTTAAACAATAACGAATACAAAGTTTCACCAAATAAAAAAAGAGAAAAAGAATTAGCAAAAATTAAAGATCTTGAAGAATTTAATACCTTATTAAATGAATTAAAAGAAAGAAAGAAAAAAGAAATAGAAATCAAATTAAAAATTAAAGAGATTATTAAAGAACATGAAAGCTCTATTAAAAAAGAAGACTCGACACCAACCAAACCAACCACACCAACAATACAAACTACCCCAACCATACAAGCTACACCAACATTACAAACTACACCAACATTACTAACCACACCCAATGATTTAAAGGAAAATAATAATGAAATTGATATCAATTGTAATAGTGATGACAAAGAAAACAAAGAAAAGGGAAAAGATAAAAAAGAGTTTGAAACATCTAATGCAAATATCACAAATACAATTATACCCACAACAAATAATGAAAATATTGATAATAGCTTAAATAATAATAATAATAATAATAATAATAATAATAATAATAATAATAATAATAATAATAATAACATGAGTGAAAGTAATAAAAAAACCTCAGAAAAATTAAACAATTTAATCAATAATTTAACAGATTTAAATAGCAATAGTGAAAAGAAATATCAAATATTTAATGAAAGATTAAAATATTTTTTTAGCACTTCAATCTTATTTTTATATAAATCGCCAAAGATATTGGTAGAATTCCCAGCCGGCATTTGTGAAACACCAAAGTCAGGACCCAAGTTAAATTTAATTACACCTCTATCAGAAATTGGTCATTTATCATTGTTAAAGATTGGTGTAAGGAATTTTCAAGTATTATGGAGAAATAAAAGCACAATGAAAATAGAACATGAATTCACTTTCTGCTATGACGAAGTAACATTTCATAAGGTCACAAACAAATGTACAAACTCAAGAATATTTTATTTCAAAATTAACCATTTGGAAGAAGATGAAAACAATATCGATGACCCACCACCAAAAAGAAAACCAGTTGATAAAAATTCTTTATCATACTTAAAAGATTTCTTTTTCGTTTGGCCACAATATAGCGAAGAATATAGAGATGATTATTTTATCGAAAAAATAAATAGTATCGTTGGTGATAAGGTTAAAAAGAAAAGATCCAAAATTAAACAAGCTGCTATGTCCAAAGTTATTCAGGCCGCTTTTTCTTTCCCATCAATAAGAAAAAGTATAGTACCAACTCCATTTAAAGAAGGACCACTTAGAAGCTATACTGATAATTTATTTAATAATCATAACCAAAATAATAATAACAACAATAATAACAGTAATAACAATAGTAACAATAATGACAAAATTAATAGTATTGGTAATAGTAACACAAATACTATAAATAATTTAAACCCAGTTAATGTAAATAGTACAAATGATCAACTTAAATTGAAACTAAATAATATTAATGATAATGAATCTGATGAGGATTTAGAAAAACCAAAGAAATGGATAATGAACCCTTTAATAGACTCTGAATTACCAGCTTCACCATCCTCAATAATTAAAAATAATCAAAGTGCCTTTACTCCATCAAATTCATTAACACCAAATTTTACATCAAACTCACCAAGTACCTATTTGAACAAATCAATACAGCAATCATCCATATCACCTTCACCATCAAACATTACATTGGATTCACCATATACCGAAATCCTTCAAAGAATTACAGAGTTTTCAAGACCAATAGATTCTGAAAAAATGGTTGAACCAAGAAAAAGAGCCGGAAGTTGGGGTCACTCAAATGATAATGTTTTTGATTTTTCTTCAAAATCACCATCTATTTTTGATCATCAAAAACAAATTATAAACAATAGTATTAATAACCATAATAACAGTAGTAGCTCAATTGAAACAATTACGAAAAAGATTAAAATTCCTATTTTAGCTACATCAATATCCAAAAAAATATCTTTAGTCGATGATATCGAACTTCTACCCTCACCTCCACCAAGAAAAACCAGCATCTCCTCCTCTTCAATACCAACAGCAACAAACCAAGCCAATACAAATACTAATGCCACCTCTACCTCTACAAATAGTATTAGCTCCACCCCGACCTCTACAACACCAACATTGCACTCTTCCCAACCAAATTTAAAAACCACAAGCTCATTAGATTTAACAAAATCTGAAGATTCAGTTATTAAAAAAGATAATTCAAATCTATAAAGATTATTTTAAATTTAATCAACATACATATATATTTTATTAATGTCAAAGAGTAAAGTTTATTTTCAAATAAAATAAAGTATTTATTGTTATTTTTATTATTTATTTTTATTTTTTTATAAATTATTTTATTCACCTGTTGCATATTCGTATCTTTGGATTTCATTATTATTATCATTATTATTATGTTTTTTTATTTTAATAATAACAATAAAAACAACTGCTGAAACTATTAGCACAGAACCTAACAATACTGGGAGTAATACTAATAATAATAAGTTTTTTTTTTTAAAATCTCCAGCTGGTATACTGTCGGAAATATTTTTTTTTTTTTCTTTTTCCAAACTACTATTACTATTACTATTACTATCATTTTTTTCTGTATCTATCTTGTCACCAGTTCCTTTAATAAAACTTATATCGCATTCTTCACACAAATATTTTATTTTATTTGTAAAAAAACTTTTCTCTTGAGTTATATTTTCTGGTAATAAAATTTTGTTATCTCTTCCAATGCTTAATAATCCTGAATTAATACTATTATTATTAACCAAATCTATAGTAACACCATTCAACTGAGATAATAGATACACATTATCTGAGATGAAAGAGTTTTTTAACTTGATTGTTGATATTCCATTATTATGTGAAAAAAATATTGATTTCTGTATAGGGATTTTATTATCTGAAAGAATATTTAAATTATCTATATCAAGAGTAAAATTTCTTTTAAAACTTTGTGGTACTGTGCTTTCGAATATGAACATTCCATGTTTAAAATCATAACCAATATCTGTTTTTAAATATTCTAAATTTTCTAAAATACTTGATTGTTTTATTGTAAAATTTGAAATAATTTGATAATAATCATTATCATTATCAAACTCATGAAGAAATAAAAAAACCATTAAACTATTTTCTATTAAAATATTTTTCATTGTTATAACCCCATCCCTTGAATAAAATAATGGCATTAATGCTTCTAAATTTATATTGTTAAAGTAGCAATCATCCAGTGTTGTTCGGTAACTGTTATCGATTATAAATGATTTTGTTTTTATATTTTCAAATCTACTTTTGCTAATAACCATGTTGTCTTTATTTTTTATAAAATATAGTTTTAAATCTTCATTTTTATTATTAACAAAATCACAATTTGAAATAAATATATTTAATTTATTTTGGCAAACTTGTCCAGAATTAATAAAAGAATATATATTATCTGTTTTTAATTGGGAAAATTCAATGGCAGCAGAGTTTATCGTTTGATCACAATAGTTATTTATATAAAAAATTTCTTTATTACTAACCAACCAATTTGAAAAAACTATATTTTTAATTCTAAGTCTAACTTTTTGGTAAAAATAACATTTTTCGCTTTTTTCATTAGAATAGGTAATAAAAGGGCTATTTGCTGTACTTCCATCAATTGATATTATGGATTCCGGATTTTCTTTAACCCTTATTTCAGTATAACAATAAAATTTAATTTCACCTATTGAAACATCTTCTTTAATCGTAAAACTTGAATCATAATTATTTAATAAAAAAACTAATGAGGTATTTGAATACATTGACCCATATTTAGATTGAAATTGTCTCGATCTAATTCCTGCATCTTTAAATGACCTACATGGTGGATAAACAACCGAATTGTTTGCAACCCCATTATAAAAATAGATTGTTCCTCCACACTCATAATTTTCATAAATAATTATGGAGGAATAATCAATGTTTATTAACACCTCCAAAGAAATTATAAAATTAAATAATAAACCTATAAAGTAAAACAAAATGAAATATTTTAGCTTCATATTTTTATAAATACATAATGAAGGAGTAAAAAAATTATTTTATTACTCTATATATTCACATTAAAAAAAATTTTAAAAAAAAAAATTTTAAAAAAAAGATGTGGTTATAAAAACAGATACAAATCCTAAAAAATAGAGAAATATATCTGTAGGAGTTTTTTAATATAAAAATAATTAATTTTTATTAGGATGGGACAGCATCTAACTCGATTGTTGCCTCTCCATTATTATAAATAGTACTTGACCTATTTTTTTTTTCTTTTTTTAATTTATAATTTACAAAAAACCCAATAAAAAAAATCAGCAAAATGGGACAAATAATAATTGGAATTAAATAGAGCATTTTAAAACTATTTGAAATTTTTTCTTTAGAAAATGAGTTTGATATTGTTGGAGTTTCTGTTACATTTGTTTCTATTTTTTCTTCTTGAATATAATAATTCTCATCACATTCTGAACATGATTGAATGCTGTTTAACTCTTTAGGGACAGCACTATGTATTCTATAAAAATAATTAATAATATTATTTGAACCGTTTACCAAATTTTTTATATCTATATAATTTCCGTTTAAAAAATTAATTTGGGTTCTATTACCATAAATTAAATTTTGAACTTTATTTGATATTATTGAATTTGAAATATTTAAAAGTTTTAAACTGTTTGAATTTAAAAAAAATTTGTTTTGGGGTACAACAATATTATTGGGCAAAAAAGTTATATTGTTCAATATTAAAGGAAGGGAATTTATATTATTTGATATTATAAAAACTCCATTTTGTGGTCTATTAAAAATTATAAAAGGTTTTAAATTGCTATTTAAAAATTGGCTATTTGAGATTATTACATTTGAAATATAATTAGTTTGGTCACCAATACATTCTATATAAATAATACTATATAACGCACAACCTTCTATATATATATAACTCATTGTAGTTTGATAAGAATAGCTTAAAATCATTGGGGATAGAGATGGGATATTAATATTAATAAACCTACAATTTTCTATATATAAAATTGAATTAAGAGCTTGAATCAATGGGATTTGGGATACATAGTTATTAAATGTGGAATTATATAAATATATATTGTTTTGAGACCAAATAAACCCCATTAAATTTGTATACAAATTCTTGAATATTGAATCTTTTATAATAATATTTGTTTTACCTTGATAATTTGTATTACGAGAGGTTATAAAAAAAACTGATTCTTCAACAATAATGGATGAAAATTCAAAACTTGCCTTTTTAATTACATAAGAATCTGTATTATTTAAAATAATAATTGCATAGTTCCAACCAATTAATTTCATATTTTTTAAAACTACCCTAGGTTTATAATCTGTACAAACAAGGTTATATTCAAGCGAATAATCTAAAAATATTTTTTCTCCTTTATTCGTCTGTTCCATTGTAATTGTTATATTAGGATTATCTATTACTTTAATTTCAAAATAGCAATAACTTTTTAATTTTATTATTAGATTATCTTTAGTTTTTATTACACTCCCATCATAGTTTTTTAATAAAATCAATAAGGAAGAATCATTATATTTTAAATCTTGATTAAAACCATATGATCTTTGACCAGCATCAGTAATAGACGTGCAAGGTGGAAAACTTTGGTTACTTTGAATACCATTTACTATCTCTATTGAACCCCCACAATTAAAACCACTATATTTAACTTTACTTGTTAAATCCACAACCAAAACTATTTCTATTGAACTACATAACTTTGAAAACAATATTAAAACTATAAATAAAAATATAATTTTTATCATTTTAAAAAAAGAAAAAATATGTTTTAGACTATAAAAACTTTAATAAATAAAAAAATTAAACCTTAAGAAAAAAAAAAAGAAAAAAAAAAAGAAAAAAAAAAAGAAAAAAAAAAAAAGTGTTTTTAACAGTCGGGGAGGGGTTATATTTAAAATAGTTTTTCTTTATTTTTTAAGAACAAATAATATTTAAAAAAACAAATTACAACTATTGTTAATTATTATTCCTTAATATTTAAATTTAAGTCTTTATTTTTTTTTTTTTTTGTTTTTTATTTTTTTTTTTTACCATTTGTCAATTCTCATGGTACCCTTTTCGAATAAATTTGTATAGAATTTGAAAGCTTTATCTAATTGATGTGGCTCATGACCCATTCCTTTTTTAATACCCAAAGAATGTGATGTTTCTAAATATTCCATTAATATTGGTTTATAGATTGGATGAGCACACTTTTCAATGATAACCTTTGCTCTTTCGTATGGAGCCAAACCTCTGATATCAGCTAAACCTTGCTCAGTTACTAAAATATCTATATCGTGTTCTGGATGATCAATGTGACTTGCAAATGGGATAACAGAGCTAATACCATGTGGATCTGATTTAGTTGGACGAGTTGATGGTGCATGAACAATTGAAAGTTTTGAATTTCTTAAAAATTCACCACTACCACCTAAACCATTTAACATTTTCGAACCAAAAGTGCATGTTGAATTTACGTGACCATAGATATCAAATTCTACTGGTGTATTCATTGCAATTACACCTAAACGTCTGACCAACTCTGCTGAATTTGAAATTGATTGATTTCTTAAAACTAATTTATTTTGATAGGTTTCCCAATTATTAAATAATCTATTAAAACCAGCTGGGGAAAATCTTAATGATGTTGCTGATGCAAATTTTAATTTTCCATTATCAAAGAAATCTAAAAATGTATCCTAAAAAAATAAATAAAAATTAGTAAAAAATAAATAATAATTTAATAATTAAATAAAAAATTACTGTAACTTACTTGAACAACTTCAGTCCAAACTGAAATATTATCGAATGGGCCTCTTGATAAACCACCAACTACAGCATTTGCGATTGAACCAATACCAGATTGAAGTGGTAAAAGATTCTTTGGTAAACGGCCTTGTTCAATTTCATTTTTAAAGAAACCAACAATATGATTAGCGATAGCATTTGAAACTTCATCTTCTGGAGCCCCGGGGATGTATTATCTGGAATTGGGATTCAACAATCCCAATATTTTTTCCGGATCGACTGGGAATGCTTCCAACACCAATTTCTATCATCGGGACGAGTAATTTGGAAGGGTTTAGTAAATTGGAGGTAAATCTACCTTAAACCAAAATCCGTGAATACCCTTTGAATGGATGGTAATGATGTGTTAATTTCTATAATAATTTTATCGGCCCATTTGTAAGAGCTCTGGAACGATACCAACAGAAGCACCTGGAACAATACAACCATCTTCAGTAATTTCTGTAGCTTCGATAATAGCAACATCAAGAGTTCTTTTACTACCATGTGGTTTATCCATTGTGTAATAACCACCTATTAATTCATTTGCGAAAATTGCTAAATGTTCATCAGAGAATCTAATACGACCTTGATTAATACCATTACGAATATGATGACCATTTTGATGTGGATATCTCTTATCTATCATATCTAACATTGCCCAACGATCTTCAGTTTCTGGACCTGTGGAAGCACCAACAAAAAGATTCATCTTTAATTTACCTTGAAGATTATTTTTTTCTACATGATCAGCTAAAGCGATTGGAACTACTTTTGGATAAGATGTACCTGCAAAACCTGACCACCCAATATACATTCCGTTTTGAAAATGTGGAATTAAATCGTCTACATTATGAACTATTTTATTTAAAAATGATTTTCTTTTAATTCTACTATTAATTAATGATTTTGTGCCACGTTCTACAACTTTATGCATTTTTTAAACTATATATATTATACTATTATAAATAAATATTATTTATCTATTAAAAAAAAAAGAAGTTAGTGTTATTACAATTAATAATGAAGTTGAGTGTGTAAAAATAAAAAAAATAAATAAAAAAAATTGAAAAAATTATGAAAAAAATTAAAAAAAGGTGGGTGAAAATTTAATTAATTTTTTTTAAAAAATAAATAAAAATAATATGTACATTGATTCTTTTTTTTTTTTTAATTACGCTAACACGCGATGAGTTTGAGGGGGAATAAATAAAAATAATTAATTTATAATATTATTTTTATTTATATGAATGTAAATTATACAAATATTTATGTATATTTATAAATTATATATATATAAATTCTATATATATATATATAAATAAATATAAATAAATAGAAAGATAAATTTTTTATTTTTTAAATGTTTGAGTGAAAAAAAAATAGGTTTAAATTATTTTATAATATATTGCAAAAAAAATAAAATTATTTGAAAAAAAAAAAAAAAAAAAAAAAAAAAATAAAATGTTATTTGAAAAATTTTATTGTAGTTGCAAAGTGTGATAATGAATTTAATGATGATAAAATAAAATCATTCCTTTTTTTTTTTCACGCAAAAAATTTTAATCTAAATTAGATTTTCGTTGATATTTAATCAAAAAAAATAAAAAAAAATAAAAAAAATTTATTTTCAAAATATGTAACATATTCTACATATAGAAGTGATCTGTAAAAATCAATAGATAATTATAGATTTTATAATACGAATTTTTGGTATGCAAAAAATTTTATTTTTTTTCAGTTTAACTAACACACTTTCATTATTTTGGGTGTATGCCAGAACTGAAAAAATGTATTCTCTCTTATTCTCTCGTTTTTTTTATATTTAAGTGGGGTTGTTAATCCCGAAAAAACCATAAAAGTTCATAATATCATTCTCGCATGATAGAATAACTTCCCTATTTGAAAAAAAAACAAATAAAAAAAAAAAAATAAAAAAAATTTTTAAATAAAATAAAATTTTATTTTCAAAAATAAACTATTTTTTATTATTTTTATTATTTTTTTATTTTTTATTTTTTTATTTTTTTATTTTTTTTATTTTTTTGGTTATGCCATAAATACTCTTTACATTTCTTAATTTAGTCATAATTGACGTTGATATTATTATTGTCAACACTATTATTATTTATTTTATTAAAACCGTGATTGTGATCATTAATGTCATTTTCTTGTTTAGGTTTGGGTATTGATTTGAATATGATTGAAAGTTGACCTCTTTTGATTGCAGTGATTAATACTGGTAATGTGACAGTTGGAACTAAATACAATAATGCTGGTTGACCACTTTCTGTTATTAAGACAACAAATAATGAAATTATTAACCCTGATGCATAGCCGATTATTGAAATTTTGAAATATCCTAAATTTTTGAACCAAACCTTTATTTTATTATTAAAATTGTTATTGTTATTATTTAAACTATTACCATTTGCGCTGCTTCTAATAGTCTGTGGTAATGATTGATATTCGCTACTATTTCCGCTTGTATCGAAATTATAATATTTATCTAAAAAATATAATTGACACATAAATATACCTGGTAATACAAAATCGCCATTACCTAATGATGAAAACCCATTTCCAAAAAATTTTGGGAATGTTATTAACATTGGTAAATAAAATTTATCCAAAACCCTAATTGCAACTTTTTCCCTATTTTTTAAAATTAAAAAAAAATTAATATAAAAATATTAATAATTATTAATTGTGAAACTAAAACTTACATTACACTCTCTCCAAAAAAGAAACTACTGTAAAATACCCAAAATACATCATATATTAAAAATATCCATAATAAAAATGTTAAACCTTTTAAATTGTTTAATCTCATAAATGATAATGCGGTTATACCCGAACAAACGGATAAAACTAAAATTTAAAATTAATAAAAATAAATAAATATTTTAAATATAAAAGTTAAATTAGTAAGTACTTACTATTTACAAACATATAATGGTTTGAATAATACCAAAACAATGTCAATGCAGCCGATAAGCAAAAAGCTACTAATACCGATAGAGTAATTGTAACATCTTCGTCTAAAATTTTGACTCTGTTTTATTTGTTGGATTTAAATAAAAAATTAATATTAAAAATAATTATTTATTTTAATTAAAATCCAACTATAATTCTAGTGGCACCAATAAAATTAGAGTAATAATAATTAAAGTATCCTACCTTTTTGAAGTATCATGAATTTTAAACTTTGGTAAAAAATATTGTACTATTGGATATAAAACAAAAGTTACTGAAAAGATTGAGGTAATGAAAACAATAAATATTAAAAATGAATACATATTATCCAGGTAATAAAAGAATAGGATTAAAGATATTGACCCAAGCAATGGAAATATTAATAGATATGACGATGGAACATCGTTGTTATCTATAATCATTAAATGATGCTCTAAATTAAATTTATATGATCTATAGCTTCCATAGCATATTACTAAAATTGGACATAGTAATATTGCTATTGATGCTGGGTCAATTAACATTATCCATTTATTCATTTTTTTTTTTTCTAATTATATTTATTTAATTATTATTAATATTATAATTATTATATTATAATCTATTTATTTATTTATATTCTGTTATATAAATATATGTTTAAAAATAAAAAGACATTAGTGTAAAAACAATGATTAATAATATATTAAAAAAAAAAAAAAATATATTTGAATATTATAATTAAAACACAAAAATTTAATTTAAAAAAAAAATTAAAAAAAAAATTAAAAAAAATAAAATTTATTTTTAATTTTTTTTTTTTTTTTTTTAAAAACAACTCTAAAATAGCCAACAAAGCTCCCAAAATACTTTATTCTTTTTTTTTTCAAGTGTAATTAGTGATTAAAAATTATCGTTATTCTCAGTTTAATTATTAAACTTGAAAAAAAAAAAATAATGCCCAAAAAATTAAAGAAAAAAAATTTTTTAAAGATTTTATAATTAATTTTTAAAGATAATAAAATGATATTAACACCATTATTTTATTTATTTTATTTATATTTTATTATTAGCCACTCTTTGTAAATGTTAAATAATCCTTTATATTTTCATTAAATAACCCTTGATATGTTTTAATGCTAAATAATCGTTGATATATTATAATGGGACATAATATTTGATATTTTTATACTTAATATTTTTAATTACCCAAAATATTTTATATATTATGAATGTTACACAATACTTAATAGTTTTTAATGATCCATTATATTTAATATTCTTGAATGTTACACGATATTTGATATGTTTTAATGATCCAATAAAATAATTACCTTATAATTATTATACACGATATTTGATATGTTTCAATGATCCAATATAATAATTACCTTATAATTATTATACATAAAATATTGATATTATTTTAGCAATGAAACTCATGTTATTATTTATTTATTAATACTTTTATTTTTTTTTTAAAATTTAGACCCAAAACTTTTTTCTAAAAATAATTTGGAATTTTTTTTTTTTTCGAATAAGGTGGTATTTTATTATGAAAAAAAGTGGTCCTTATACCATAGTAATATTATTACCCGTTTATACCACTTTTTCTTCCGGAGGTGTATCAATATGTCCGCACCAAGGGAATCAATGAATTCCTAAACAAAGTAAAAACATAACATTAATACTAAAAAAAACTATAAATAAAGTGGTCAGCTCATGACTAATAGTTAAATACCAAATAGTCTCAGAACACTCAATATAAAAAAAAATAAAAAAAATTAAATAAACAAAATGAATTAAAATTGGTTTTAACCTTTACTTTAACCATTCACTTTGAAAAAAATTCGTGGCAAACGATTAAAACAAAAAGAATAAAATACATACCAGAACTAATGTTGATTTAAAAATACAATAAAAATAATAATATTTGAATAAAAAAAAATATATTATAATTTATTAGAAAAAAAAATTTATATTAATAATATGTTAATGAATTAACTAACCTTTACATTACAGTTAGATCTGATTTTATAAAATAAATAAAATATTAAAAAAAAAAAAAAGATTAAATTAATATGGAAAAAGAAAAAAAAATAAATAAGTTATTCCAATTTTGAAAAAAAATTAAGTCTTTCGAATAAATTAATTTTTTACATTTAAAAAAAAAAAAAAATAAGTTATTCCAATTTGAGTGAGTGTTGTGAGACTATTTTGTAGAAGAATATTAATCATGACTGATTACTTTATTTAGTTTTATGTTTAAGGAAAAAGATATTTTTTTTTTAAAATTATATGGCAAACAAAGTAATTAGCAGAGGGGGGAGTTAAATATATAAGAATTTGAAAAATTGATAATTGATATCTTATTATGAAGATTTAAATTTTTGGGTCCAACTTTGAAGAGAGAGGATAGTACCAATTATTGCTTTTCTTGGTAATTTTTTGAACAAATGTACCTTTTCGTTTTCAGGAAGTGGTAGACTTAAACAATCTTTGAGAGATTTGATGGTGAGAGTTATATCTTTTTCAGTGTGGGAACTTCTTTAGTTATAATTCTGCCAAATGCACCTATGACTATTGGGATTATTTGTACATCAAATGATCTGCCATCTGGGTCTTTGAATTGGTTCTTAGTGTTTCTTGAAGTATTCGTATTTCAATAGTTTTTCATGTTGTCTGAACAGCATATTACAGTGCCCGGATTATATATGTAGACCCCCCCAACTTTTATTAAATCATTTATAAAATAAGATCTACCAATAATAATTTATATATGACGAACCTTACCGCCAATAATAATTAATATTTAAAAATAAATCGTCAGGAGTGAGTGTGGGTAAAATAAAAAAAAAAAATTTCTATATTTTTTACCACATTTTTATTTTTAAAATTTTTATATTTTTTTTATCATTAATTTAATAATTAAGTGTTAGTATAAGTTTAAAAATTATATATAGTAAATAAACAAAATGAGGTTAAGTGATGAAGTTCCATACTCAATATTATCATATAAAAACATAGGTCACAAGTCGAACTCAAAAATTGCAAAAAAATTGGAGTGTATAAATCAACAGTAGCAAATACATTAGAAATGGTAGAACAAACAGGCACAATCAATGACGGTAAACGTCATGGGAGAAAATAAAGTTTGACGAACGTGATAAACGTGATTTATGTTTCAATTTTTAAAATAGTAAATTTAACATTATAAAATAAAGTATAATTTGGTATGAACAAAATGGATTTGGAACAATATCATACAAGTCAGTATGAATTATATTAAAGAGATATAACATAATATATAAAAAGAAAGTTAAGAATCCTTCAATGATTAGACATAATAGCAGAAAAAGATTTTTTTTGAAGTTGTGCATATAAATTTTTTTGTGGAATAATTAGAAAATTATATGTTTGTGGATGAAGTAAAGTTCCAATATAAAAATAATAACCATGGTAGGTATTCTTGGGCTTATGACACTAATGTTTTACTAGAATCACGTATCAAGACAAATGTTAGAAAGGGTGGGGTTAATTAAATATTTTTGGGAAATTTTCTTTATTTTGGTCCAATTTATTTATTCATTTATCAAATGGATTTTGAACTAAACAATATCTTGATATTATAAAAAACGATACACAAATAAATTTAGAATAATATGCAGATATAAATAAAGTGCCTAAGAGGTTGCCAATCATTTGTCATGACAACTGTAGTTCGCATACAGCAAAGATAGTGAAACAATATTTTGAAGAAAATAATATACAAGTTTATCCATTACCACCCTACAGTCTAGATATTAATATAATTAAAAATCTTTGGTCAATTGTTAAAGAAAGGGTATCAAAAAAGATGTTTCGTAACCCATCACAAGACCAAGTTCAGGTATGTCAAGATGCATTTCATTCAATAGAAAAATCAATTATAAAATCATTATATGAATCACTCCCTGACCGAATGGATGCCATATTAAAAGCACATGGAGGGTATACTAAATATTAAATAATAATAATCATTTATATATAATTGTAAAAAAAAACAAATAAAAAACAAAAAAAATTTTTGAAATTGAAAAAACGGATTAAATATTAAGACCCTATTTTTTTTTTTTTTTTATTTTAATTTTTAGTAAATAAATCAATATCTTGTAATATGATTTATTTTAGAGGTCATTATATAAATATTAAATATGATCTATTAATTCAATAATTATCATTTCCATTTTAAAAAAGTTGGGGGGGTCTAAATATATAATCCGGGCACTGTACCATCGAAAGGGATACATACATCAATAACACGGATGATGTGTTTTACTTTATCAATGACTACAATATCAGGTTTATTTTGTATTGAGTCAGAGTTTTTAAAACAAACATCACATAAGATTTCAACATTGATGATGGTTTGATTGTTTAAAGAGTTTGAGAAGATGGGTGCCTTGAAGTTTGTGATGTTGGGGATTTCATAACGTTTAGTAAGTGATTTTATGATTTCAGTAACAACCATGTCATGACGGGTGATTCTACCGAATTTATTCATACCTGTACATCCACCTACTAAATGTTCAATTGATTCATCAGCACTTGCGCACAACCTACATCTCCTATCAGCATTTGAACTTGCATCACGGTGAACTAATGACATTCTATTTGGTAATAACGACAAAACTGCTTCCCAAAATGTTGCTTCGATATGAGCCGGGATATGGGTCCAACCCTTGATCCAGTGTATCCAATGTTCATGAAATCTTCTCCACAAACGTTTCTTTGCAACACCTACTTCCTCTTCTTTTACTCGTTTATATAGTTGAAGATTGGTAAAGTGTTTGATGATGGCCAATGACATTTTATCAGATTGTTCTGCATTTTCATTATTTGAGTAAACAGTGTAAGTGGTAACATTATCGTCATTGACTTTTGGAATAGTTACGGTCCACATTCCATTTGCGGTAAATGATAATTCAAAACCAAGTTCTGAGGCGTAATGACAGGCTGTGTCTTCTGGTTGGAGGAGGTACCATGATACTTGAATTTTTGTAAAGATCAAAATCATCACCTATAAATACAGAAAATTTAATATTTTCATGAAATTTGAGTAATGAAGTGATTTTATAAACCATAAATTCTTGTTTTATGTTTGTAAACCCCCTTCCACCATATTTACGAGGTAAATGGAGGAAGTCATTTGACATGAATGGATGTTTTATTCCATTAGAACGCATTATTTCTTTTATAGCAGTAGAAAGTGCTTTAATGTCTTTTAGGGAAAAGTCTAAAAACCAGTAATATCTGAGGTATCCTATAATAAGTGAGTCGAATGTACTGACTAGATTGAAACCAGATAATTCGGATTTGAATAATCTGTTGCTATAGCAACCTAGATATAGCTTCTCTGTTAATTACTTCACGATTTTTGTCTATATCAATAATTGGATTGAAGTAGACACCCATATATTTGTACGGAGTATCTTTGGAAACTTTTTGAATACCTTGGAATAAGTCGACACCATCGAAGCTTTATCCTTATCGGAACGTTCTCATAAAACCTTCGATGATCCGGGTGAAACTACTTGGTTAAAATAATCACCGAATGTGAATTTTGTGAGATTATTTGGTAATGTGCCGGGTGTAACTACTTGGTTAAATTTAGCACTGTATGTGAGTGTTGTGAGACTATTTGGTAATGTTCCGGGTGAAACTACTTGGTTAAAATCATAACCGAATGTGAGTGTTGCGAGACTATTTGGTAATGTTCCGGGTAGAACTACTTGGTTAAAATCACGACCGAATGTGAGTGTTGTGAGACTATTTGGTAATGTTCCGGGTGAAACTACTTGGTTAAATTTAACACCGAATGTGAGTGTTCTGAGACTATTTGGTAATGTTCCGGGTGTAACTACTTGGTTAAATTTAACACCGAATGTGAGTGTTGTGAGACTATTTGGTAATGAACCGGGTGTAACTACTTGGTCAAAATTTTCACCGAATGTGAGTGTTGTGAGACTATTTGGTAATGTACCGGGTGAAACTACTTGGTTAAATTTAAAACCGAATGTGAGTGTTGTGAGACTATTTGGTAATGTTCCGGGTGAAACTACTTGGTTAAAATAATAACCGAATGTGAGTGTTGTGAGACTATTTGGTAATGTGCCGGGTGAAACTACTTGGTTAAATTTAACACCGATTGTGAGTGCACCGAATGTGAGTGCACCGAATGTGAGTGTTCTGAGACTATTTGGTAATGTTCCGGGTGAAACTACTTGGTTAAAATTTTCACCGAATGTGAGTGTTGTGAGACTATTCGGTAATGTGCCGGGTGAAACTACTTGGTCAAAATTTTCACCGAATGTGAGTGTTGTGAGACTATTTGGTAATGTACCGGGTGAAACTACTTGGTTAAATTTAACACCGAATGTGAGTGTTGTGAGACTATTCGGTAATGTTCCGGGTGAAACTACTTGGTTAAAATCATAACCGAATGTGAGTGTTGTGAGACTATTTGGTAATGAACCGGGTGAAACTACTTTTCTAAATTTAACACCGAATGTGAGTGTTGTGAGACTATTCGGTAATGTGCCGGGTGAAACTACTTGGTTAAAATAATCACCGAATGTGAGTGTTGTGAGACTATTTGGTAATGTTCCGGGTGAAACTACTTGGTTAAATTTAACACCGAATGTGAGTGTTGTGAGACTATTTGGTAATGAACCGAGAACTACTTGGTTAAAATCACGACCGAATGTGAGTGTTGGGAGGCTATTTGGTAATGTGCTGGGTAGAATTGATTGGTTAAATTGATGACCGAATGTGAGTGTTGTGAGACTATTTGGTAATGTGCCGGGTAGAATTGATTGGTTAAGTTGATGACCGAGTCTGGGTGTTGTGAGACTATTTGGTAATGTGCCGGGTGAAAATAATTTTCTATAATTAGTAGCGAGTGTGAGTGGAGTAATTGTATTTGGTAGATTTTTTGGAATTAACCTTTTATTAAAACGGTACAAATATAAATTTGTCAAAAAAGGTGGAAATTCATTTTTTTTTGGTAGTGGGTCATTACACCACTTAAGTGATGTTATATATGATTTATCTTTAAACTGATTATAGCCTGATTTATCAAAATCTACAACCCTATATTCAATAAACTTTAAAATATGTTTATGAATTTCTTTTCTTAAAACAATATTATTCCAAACTTTATACAATAATCTATAATAATAATTTAAGAGAAAACACCAATTAATATGCTTTTAATTAATATACTATATTATATTTATATTTATTGTATTTTTTGTACTTACCTTTCACTAATGTTACTACTGTTTTTTAGCTCTTCGCTTATAGGAAATTTTTCTGGGAAAGCAATTATTATGTCCAGAAGCTCATCCATTGTTTATATGAAAACATAAATAAAAAAAAAATTTTTAAAATAAATATTTTATCAAAATTTTAAAAAAATTTTCCCAAAATAAATTGGAAAATTTTAAAATTTTTTTTGTTGCAAAAACGTTGTTATTGATAAATGATGAAGGGCGAGTTATAATTTTGAGTGTGATTTTTTATTTTTTTTTTATTCATTTATAAATTTGGGAATGTTATTTGTCTGAAGATATAATTTATAGAAACAAGATTTATTATTTAAATTTATTCAATACAATTATAAATATCACAAGAAGGTCTCCAATTCGAAAATCACAATATTAAATCAGAGATTACAATTTTTCAAGAACATAATTGTATAGCCATATTACTCTTGGAGTTTTCAAAATTTTTAAACAAAACCACCAAGATTCCCTTCTATGAATTCTTCATCAAAATTGGATTCAGTTTCTCCTAATGAGTTAACTTTTCTTCCGCCTTCATTAACATCATCAATTAAAATATCTTCTGTTTCAAATTTGAAGCTCTAATTCTTTTCAGGTAAAATTGGTTCGGGAATATTTGTTAAAACATATAAAGTTTTATCATTTTTAACTTCCAGCTATTGCAGTGCACCATTTTGACCATACTATATTCTATAGTCGGTACGAAATTGTTTACATTGGATGGAATTAATAATAATCTTGAGACTTCTTTATCTCTTTTTTCTTCGTTTGATTTCTTTTTCTTTCTCTTTTTATGCAACGGTTCTAAAACTACATCTTTATACATTGAGTTATCTTTTAATAGTAATTGGTCTGTACCTAATACCCACATATTCTTTTTTTTATAATTTGTAAAACCTGATTTAAAAACTCTACCTGTAGTTATTTATGAAATTTATAAATTAGTATTAAATGATTAAAATTTTTTTTTTAAACACTTTATAAGGAAATTCTATTTGATTTAATTTAATTACTTGATTAACTGTTTTTATTGCTGTTGTTGTTGAGGTAGATGTTGAAGTTGTTGTTGTTGCTATTGTTGTTGTTGTTACTGTTGTTATTTTTGGGGTTGTTAATGTCGGGGAAATTGAAGATGGTATTTTTGAACTTTCAGTTGGAGTTGGTGATAGCATATTAGAACTTATCGGTGATAGTATTATATTTGAATTATTATTATTATTATAATTACTACTGGTTTGTTTTTTACTATCACGATGATTCTTATTAATACTATTGCTGCTACTTTTACTAACACTACCAATAAAATTTTTTTTGCTACTCTGTTTTTTTGCTTCAAATGATTCAACTATATCATCTAATTCTGCATCATCTAGATCACTTAGTTTTCTTTTTATATTATCATCAGAGTTTATGTAATCATAAAAACTATTTTTGGAAGATTTCTTTTCTTTGCTATTACTATTACTATTATAGTTGTGGTTGTAGTGGGGTTTATCATTATCATGACGATGGTGACTACTATTATTGTTGCTATTGTTGATGTTCAAACTATTATTATATTTTTGATTAATATCACCATATGTAGCAATGAGCGCTTTTTTAAATTTTTTTTTAATGATATGCTTTAATAATCTAAAATAATTATTTTGATCCAATAAAAAGATAGCTTTAATGCTAAAAAATCCTCGATAGCTTTAATGCTAAAAAATACTTGATAGTTTTAATGCTAAAAAATCTTTTATATGTCTTTATAATGATATAAAATTATGGTATCAAAAATAAAAAAAAAAAACTTTAGTTGAATTATAATAATTAAATGCAAAAAAATCCTCGATATGCTTTAATGCTAAAAAATCCTTGATGTGTTTTAATGCTAAAAATCCTCGATATGTTTTGATAATATTTTTAATTATTTTTTATTTTTTATACTATTGGCCACTCTTTGTAAAGAGTGTTTCCAGCTCTACCACGGGGAGGTTAGTATATTAGAGCCGGATGGTTAATTATTTATACCTTCAGGCAGTATAAATAATTAAACACCATATTTGTGGTTAATTATGTATCCCACCACGCAGAATACATAATTAACCACCATATTGATAATAGGGTGAAGTGAGGTGAAGTGAGGTGAGGTGAAGTGTAATGTGTTGTGTTGTGTTGTGTTGTGTTGTGTTGTGTTGTGTTGTGTTGTGTTGTGTGTTTTTTTTTTTTTTTTTTTTTTTTTTATTTTTTATTTTTTTTTTTTTTTTTTTTTTTTTTTTTTTTTATTTTTTTTAATTTTTTTTTTTTTAAGGTGTTGTGTGTTGTGTGTTGTGTTGATTAAAATACTTACTAACCTTATAATCATTATTTTGATCCAATAAAATACTTACCTTATATTAATAATATAATAAAACTTGATAATCTTGAATGATCAAACCCACTTGAATTTACCTGAATGTGTATAATGAAAAAAAAAAAAATTTATGAAATTATTTTCTTTAAATACTTTTTAGTTTTTTTAAAAAAAAAAAAAAAAAAAAAAATTTAATTTAAAATTAATTAATTAATTAATCTATAACTATTTCCTAATTTATTTAAAACATCAATTCCAAAATAAGTAAAATTTGTATTGCAAAAAAAATGTAGATCTGCTACAATCAAAATTGGTAATAATTTGAAACAGGGGAGGTTTTTTTTTTTCAAAATTTTTTAATTTTTAAATAAATTAAACACATCTTCCTTTTAAAGAAATCATTTATCCATTTGTATTATTTTATTATAATTCATTTCATAATTGATATGTGGAAAAGGAATAAGTAAGAATTTGGTAGTTCATTATATGATAATGAAATTGGTATGATAACTGAATGAAAATACATTAAAAAAAAAAAAAAAAAAAAAATAATAAAAAATATAAAAAATTAAAAAACCATTGACTTAAATACAATTACATAAGTTATAATTTAATTAATTAATTAAATTTTTATTTATTTATTATAATACATTAAGTTTAAATTTAATAGTTGAGGGGCCATTGTTTTTTATTAAAAAATTTCCATTTATATATATATTTTTTTTGTAAATTCCATAATCCAAATTTAAAGGAATTTTATGATAGTCCAATAACAACTCTAGTTTTGTCTTTATATCAGTATCCGGGTTACCTATTATAAAAGAAACATATTTATCTTCTATATAGCCATCTAAAAATAAAAGGTATTAGAAAAAGTGGTAATTTGATCAAAAAAAATAAATTATTATACTTACATATTTTTTCATTTGATTTTAATTCGTATATCATTTTTTTACTTTTTTATTATATATATATAAATATATAGTTATCTATTCAATTGTTTAGTTAATAATAGAGTATTTTATACAATATAAAAAATAATAAAAAATAAAAAATATTTTTAAATTTGAGATTAAATTAATTATAATTTAATTAAACACAATACTTGTTTTTATTTTATTAAATAAGAAAATTAAAAAAACAAATAAAAAATAATTTATTTATATTCTACCCTAATGCATAATAATACATATAAAAAATTAATAAAAAAAAAAATAATAAAATAAATAAATTTTTTTAAAAATTTTAAAAATACACATAGAGATTCACAATATATATAATTTGAATAATAGTTGTTGCAACTACAAATCAAACTACCATTTTAGATAATAAATTATTATTGTTTTTAAAATGTCTCCTATTTTTACATAGGCTCAAAAAAAAAATTAAATAACTTTAACCCCACCTACACACAATCTACCCCTTTTTAATATTATTTTTTTTATTTGAAGAAATAAAAGAAATCCAAATGAATTTTTTGAAATATTATTTTGATTTTGATTTTGAGAAAATTTAAATCATTATTTGTTTTATATGTGGATTGTAATTAATACAATTTTTTATAAAAAATATTAACAAATATTTTTTTTTTTCTATTAACAATTTAAATTCAAATAATAATTATTATGGTAAAAACTATAAGTTAATCTTTTTACAAATATGTTTTTATTGAGATTTCAATTGAATTAATTAACACCACTTTATTTCCTAAAGATATTTATTTATCCAACAACAAAGATATTATATTGATTATTATTAATAAAACAAAAAGATCCACCATTCACAAATCTTTTCTTTTTTATTTTCTTTTTTTTTTTTTCAATAAATATTTATGATTTTTTTTTTTTATTATTATAATTTTTTAATTTTTATTATTATTATTTATGAATCTGATTTTTGTTTCTTTGCATCAGATATTTCAGAATCTTCTTCGTCGTACTTTCTTTTAAGTGAAGTTGTGTTGGTAGTTGTAGTTGTATTTGTTGAAGCAGTTGATGATGTTTTACAAACTAGTGATTCTGGTACTGGTGTCTCTAAAATTTCAAAATCATCATCGTCATCTACCATACCATTTTCGTTTGTATTTGTTGCGTCACATTCTTTTTTATTTTCGTTTGATGGTGTTGTAGTTGAACCAATAATTTCAAACCATTTTTCATCTTCTTCTTTTTTCTTTTCATCTTGTTGTTTTGCTCTGTTTTGATCTTTATTTTCTTCTTCTTTTTTTTTTTTAATATCTTCATCAAACTCATTAGTATGTACTATGTTCATTGTAACTTTAAAATCTTGATTATAATCTTCAATAATGACTTGAGAACCATTTACAAGACGATATTGACCCATAATTTTTTCCTCAATTTTCTTTCTTTGGGCAATTTCTTCTTTATCGAGATCTTGATCACCACCTTCATATATAAGATCGTTACCTACTGTTAAAATTGGTTCATTTACGGCTAAAGATTTCTTTAAAATTTCATTAACGAATTTTCCGACGGTAACTTTATCGGTATTTAATTTACAGGTGATAAAATTACGATTGCAAACAAAACATTTTGGATTTGGTTCTTCGAGTGAAGTTGGAATTAAAAGACGTCTTGATGATGGCTCCTTCATTAAATAGGTTGAGTGACATTCATTGAAACGACCGCCAATGATTTTAATTGCTTCTGTTAAAACTAAACCACTAATGATGGCATTGGTAGTACCGATAGCGGGAATAATATTACCAGCCATTGATTTGACATCAAAACGACTCTTCATTGGAATGTTGAAAATTTGTGAACGAATATTTGAAGCAGAGCAAACAAAACTTAATGAAATCTCATCATCTTTATCCCAAACTAAACCATTTTCCTTCTCTGATTGATCCTTGAGTTTTTCTGCACAATCTAAAAATACTTCAACATTTTCTTTGAATGACCAAAGTTTTTGATCTTTTAATTGATTAATAAGTTGATCACCCTCTTTAGAAGTTTCGTCAATTTCTTTTTGATCTAAAATATTATCAAGAGATAAAGGTGATGGAGGTTGTTTTTCTTTCCAAAGATCTGCCATTTTAGCTAAAATTTGAATATCTGTATTGAAAACTTTATGGAAAACCCAACGCTTATAACCTTTTTCTTTTTCGACAAGCAATTGTTCATCTCTAACTATATCACCATTTTCTTCGCTACCAGAGATGATATTATTATCCATATCAGTGATACCATTGGTATCATCATCACCACCATTCTTTTGACCACCAAAAAGTTTACCAAATAACATTTTAGCCCAAACGATACAATGAATTGGAGCTGATGGGTTTGAACGAATTGTACAAACTGGGAATTGCTTTGGTACTGGTAATGGGTGACATTCGTAACACTCTGTTTCACCTTTTTTGATAATAGTAACTTGACCTAAATATCCTGCTGTTCCACTTTCAACTAATGGGAGTCCTGCTGATAAACATAATCTATTAACATGTCTTCTTGCAGAGATATTGTCTAATGCCGATAATACTAAATTAAATTTCTTAAAATATTCCAAATCAAATTGTTGAGTTTTAACATCGCCATGATATGCATTTATATTTGCTAATGGATTATATTGTAATACTGCATCTTTTGCTACTAATGCTTTTGGTTGTCCAACATGGTTCATTCTAAATAAAAATTGTCTATTTAAATTGCTAATATCGATAATATCCAAATCGACCTATGGTTAATTAATGAAACTGTTAATTATTACTATAACCTTTCTAATAGCCAAATTAATTACAATCTACATACAACATCAATATTTATAAAACCTGCTAAAACTAAATTTTTAAGAACTTCACAACCTATACCACCCGCACCAATTACTAAAACTTTAGATTCTTGAATAGCTTTAAAACATTCTTCACCATAGGTGAGTTTCATTGCTGAGAATCTATCTGTCATTTTTTTTTGATCTTCTATTTATAAAATTTAATTTAAAAATGAAAAGAAAAAAAATTTTAAAAAATTAAAAATTGAAAAAAATTGAAAAAAAAAAATAAAAATAAAAAAAAATAAAAATTTATTAACCAAATAAATTAATGATTGATTTTTTAAATTGATTAAATAAGTTATGATTTATATTAATATTAATATTTTTAATATTTTTAATAATTTTTTTATTTTAGTTTTAGTTTTATTTTTATTTTATTTATTTCTTTTCAGCCAATTTCTTTTCAACAGCATCAATAACAGCTAAAGCGGCATCAGTAATTGGGGTACCTGGACCAAAGATAGCAGCAACACCATGTTGATAAAGGAAATCATAATCTATTTAAAAAAAAAAAATATTTAAATTAGTAACTATTAATGAATTTTTTTATGAGTAAAAATAAATGATATTACCTTGTGGTGGAATAACACCTCCACAAATTACAGTAATGTGTTCAGCATGATGTTTTTTAAGTTCACCAACTAAAGCTGGAACTAAAGTTTTATGACCGGCAGCAAGACTGCTAATACCAACAACATCTACATCACTTTCAATAGCAAATTTACAACTTTCTTCTGGGGTACTGAATAATGGTGATAAATCAACTTCAAAACCAAAATCTGAGAAAGCAGAAGCGACAGCTTTAGCACCTCTATCATGACCATCTTGACCCATTTTAGCGATGAGAATTCTTGGTGGTCTACCTTGTTTCTTTGCAAACTCTTTGACTCTTGTTAAAACTTTATCCATGACATCGGCATTACCATAAGCAGATTTATAAGCACCACTGGCTAAGGTTGAGGTTGGAATATAACGACCATAAATCTTCTCTAAAGCATCTGAAATTTCACCAACGGTACAACGAGCACGAGCAGCTTCAATGGCTAAACCTAAGAGATTACCATTACCAGATTTAGCAGCTTCAGTAAGAGCGTCTAAAGCAGCATTAGCTTTGGCTTGGTCACGAGTGGCTCTGACTCTTAAGAGACGTTCGATTTGTGAAGCCTTTACTTTATCGTTATCAATGGAGAGAATATCGATTCTTTCTTCATTCTTTAATTTGTATTTGTTGACACCAACAATAGTTTCGATACCACTATCAATTCTAGCTTGACGAGAAGCGGCGGCTTCTTCAATTCTACGTTTTGGTAAACCATCAACAACAGCTTTAGCCATACCACCCATCTTTTCAACTTCGTCAATGATCTCTTTGGCTTTATTTTCGAGTTCGTTTGTTAATGATTCCATAGCATATGAACCAGCCCATGGATCAACAATACGTGGAATACCAGTTTCTTCTTGAAGAATTAATTGAGTATTACGAGCAATACGAGCAGAGAATTCAGTTGGTAAACCAATGGCTTCATCGAGGGCATTAGTGTGGAGTGATTGAGTACCACCTAAAACAGCAGACATAGCTTCAACAGTTGTACGAATAACATTGTTGTATGGATCTTGTTCAGTTAATGACCAACCAGAGGTTTGACAATGGGTACGTAATAATAATGATTTGGTGTCTTTTGGAGCGAATTTTTCTTTCATAAGTTTGGCCCATAAACGACGAGCAGCACGTAACTTGGCAATTTCTAAATAGAAGTTCATACCAATACCAAAGAAGAAAGAGAAACGTGGTGCAATCTCATCGACAGTGACACCACCTTGAAGACCACAACGAACATATTCTAAACCATCAGCTAAAGTGAATGCTAATTCCAAAGCGGTATCGGCACCAGCTTCTTGAATGTGATAACCAGAAATTGAAATACTGTTATATTTTGGCATGTATTTTGAAGTGTAACACATAATATCTGAAATGATTTTCATTGATGGAATTGGTGGATAAATAAAAGTGTTACGAACCATAAACTCTTTAAGAATATCGTTTTGAATAGTACCAGCTAATTCTGATTGTTTTGCACCTTGCTCTTCAGCAGCAACAACATACATTGCTAAAATTGGTAATACAGCACCATTCATAGTCATAGATACTGAAACTTGATTTAATGGTAAACCATCGAATAAAATCTTCATATCCTCGACAGAATCGATAGCTACACCAGCCATACCAACATCACCTGATACACGTGGATGATCAGAGTCATAACCACGATGGGTTGCTAAATCGAATGCAACTGATAAACCTTTTTGACCTGCTGCCATATTTGCACGATAAAACTTATTTGATTCTTCAGCAGTTGAAAAACCAGCATATTGACGAATAGTCCATGGTCTATGGGTGTACATAGTGGCATATGGACCTCTAGTGAATGGGTATTGACCTGCAACTTCATCTTCAACAATATTGTGTGTATCTTTTTGTGTGTAGATTGGTTTAATTAAAATACCTTCTGGTGATTTAAATGTCAATGCATCCATTGGATTATCATGTTTAATTTCTTTTTTTGCCATCTTTTCCCATCCTGATAATAATTTTTCAGATTTTTCTTCTGAAAATGATGTAGTTAATGATCTTTTAATAACAAATGCATTTTTATTATTTCTTAATACCTAAATTATTTTGTTTTATTTATTATTTATTATTTATTATTTATTATTTATTATTTATTATTTTATATTAAATTAGAATATTAATATTAATAATTAACTTTTTTTTTAATTTTTTTTTTATTAGGTTAAGTATATAAAAACTTTATAGTAATAATACTTTTGAAACACTTGAAGCTTTTAATAAATTCATTTTTTACTTTTTATTATTAAAACTTCGATATTTAAAAATATCAAAAAATGAACAATTAAATAATAAACTGTTTGTTCAAAAAAATATGAAAAAATAAAATAGAAATAAAAAAAATTAAAAAAAATTAAAAAAAAAAAAAAAAATTTTGAAATTTTTAAAAATTAAAATTTTATTTTTTTATTTTTTGGTGATGAAATTTCCAAGGGGGTCAAACAGTTCAAGAATTCTTGAATAACTTTATAAACAAAAAATGGAAATTATCGATTTAAAATATAGAAATCTATATATTAAACAGCTCTGCATTACAACTAAAATAAAAAACTTAAATTGGACCAGTAAAAATTAAATAAATTAAATTAAAATTAAATAAATTTTATTTTTTTTTTTTTTTGATCAATTTTTAAAATATATTTTATATGGGAAATATTAATATTGAAACACCACAACACACCATATAATTGATAATAATGGCGGTTCTTTTTTTTCACTTTTAATTTTTCTTTAGTTTATTTAATTGTTTACATATTTGATTTGATTTTTTTTTTTTTTTTATTTTTATTTTTATTTTTATTTTTATTTTTTATAATATTTCTTTATTTAATAAACATTTAATTTTTTTTTTATAAAAGTTTGTTTTTTATTTTTAACAATTATAATTTAATCTTTACATATAAGTAAAATTTTCTTTAGTTGTGTAAGAGTTTTAAAAAAAAAAAAAAAATGGATTTAAAATATTTTTTTTCTGGTAGAGTTAATAAAAAAATTTTGGACCCAAACAATATATTTATTGTTGAACAAAATAAAAAAACCACTAATATAGATGATAATGAAGAACTTTCAAATTTAATTAGTAAGCAAAAAAAAAATATATAAAAAAAAACTATTATTGCTTTATTTAAAATTAATTTTCATTATTTATAAAAATTTAGAAAAAGTAAAACCATGTAATAATCCAAATGACCCAGTTAATATTTTATTTAATAATATTTTAACAGAAAAAAGAACTCAAGGTGATGACCAATGTTCCTATTTCAGTGTCACTGAATCAATCAATAGTCTAACTCCCACAGCAAATTTTTATGGAAATCTCAAAACGTTAATAAAAGCATACAAAGAAAATCATCCTAAAACCACGAACAATGACACTCTAATTAAAGATTCCATAAACCTACATATGGTATCAAGTGTTGCATCAATGAAATTTGGAATACCTTTTGAAATAGGAGATAAAAAAGATCCAAATCAAAGTGATATGGCTATTAAAGCTTTGATTTCAAAAAAAAGAGTATCTTTCGGGATGGAGTTATCTCAAAGATTATGGTGTATTTTTGGAAAACGTGCCAAAGGTGAAAGGGCAGAAGATGATGCAGAAAGGGAAGGTGGAGAGACTTCAAGACATGCAATGAACATTGTAGGCTTTAACCTTGTGGAAGACAACTTCATCATCAAAAACTATTGGGGAGAAAAAAATTTCATTTATCTTCCTTTCAAAGTTTTGGATTTAATAGATTTAACAAAACCAGAGCTTTATTTTTTTTAAATAAATAAATAAAAATTTTAATTTAAAAACAATCCTTTTTTATTTATTGTTGTTGATTTCTATTTTTTTTTTTTTTTGAAAAATAAAGTTGGTTTAAAGTGAAAATAATTAAACTAAATGTTGTTGCGATAGCTGTAAATCTGAATAAATACATCGGTGATTTATGTTCATATAAAAACCCACCATTAATACTTTTGAAACACTTGAAGCTTTTAATAAATTTTTTTTTACTTTTTATTATTAAAACTTCGATATTTAAAAATATCAAAAAATGAACAATTAAATAATAAACTGTTTGTTGAAAAAAATATTGGGTTATAAAATAGAAATAAAAAAAATTTAAAAAAAAAAAAAAAAAAATTTTAATAAAAATTATTTTTTTATGATGAAATTTCAAACAATACAAGACTATATTTTTTGAAAATGTAAAATAATATTATCAATTAACTAAAAAATGGATATTATTGATTTAAACTATAGAAATCTATATATTAAACAGCTTTTGAAGAACAACTTAAATTTATAACCAAATAGGCGACATGTGAAAATCAATATAGATTAGTTAAATATTCAAAGAATCAAATAAATAATAATACAAATTTAAAATTAATTTTAAAATAAATAAATTTAATAAAATTTAATTCTTTTTATATGGAAAAAAAATTTATATAAAAAAACACCACACCACACTCAATATCATCATATAAGTGTTAACAATAGGTCGTATATATATATCTTTATTTATTTTTATTTTTATTTATTTAATTATATTTTTATTTTTGTTTTTATTTATTTGCATTTCATAATTATTTTTAACATAATTATTATTATTATTTAATCTTTACATATTACCTATAACATTTTCTTTAAAATTGAAAGAGTTAAAAAAAAAAAAAATGAATACTGAATATCTTTTACAACAAGATAATGGGGTAAAAAAAACTTTGGACCCAAACAATCAAACTATTAAAATACTAAACAATACCATCAAAAATGCCAATGCTGAAGATATTAAAAAAGAACTTTCAACTTTAATAGGTAAGTAATAAAAAAAAAAATAAAAAAACTATTATTAATTTAATAATCAATTTTCATTATTTAGAAAAAGTAGAACCATATAATCCTAAGGACCCAGATAATTTTTTAAATGATACCTCAACAAAAAAAAGAAAACAAGGTAATGACCAATGCGCTTTTTTCAGTGTAACTGAATCAATAGATCAATTTACTCCAAATCCAAATTTTAAAATAAACCTTGGTATTGTAATAGAAGAATACAAAAATTATAAAGAAGCGGATATATATGGCTGCATAACTCTATCTGTAGTAGCAGGTGTTGTACCATTAAAATTTGACATAGATGTTGACCTTGTTGTAAAAGGAGAACCAGTTATACAAATGGTTATTACAGCTTTGGAAGAGAATAAAAAAATATCTTTCGCGATGGAGCTTCCTAAAAAACTATGGGTCACATTCGAAAAAAAGGCCAAAGGAGAGATGGGGCTTGAAAAAGTATGGAACACATTCAAAGAATATGCCAAAGGTAAAAAGACAAAATCCGATAAAGAAAGTAGTGAAGAGACAATTAGACATGCAATGAATATTGTTGGTTACAACAAAAAAAAAGAATGTTTCATCATCAAAAACTTTTGGGGAGAAGATAAATTCATTTATCTTCCTTTTAAGATTTTCGATTTAGAATTTAGCGAAGTAACAGATCCAACATTTTGCTTTTTTTATGAAAAGAAAAAATAAATAAAAAATAAATAAAAATTTTAATTTAAAAACAATCCTTTTATTTATTATTGTTGACTTCTTTTTTTTTTTTTTGAAAAATAATTAAACTAAATGTTGTTGCGATAGCTGTAAATCTGAACAAATACATTGGCGATTTATGTTCATATAAAACCCACCAATGATTGATCCTAAACCTGCACCCAATCCACAATAAATACCTGAAAAAATACCTTGGTATGTAGTTTCATTCTCTTTTGGTGCCATTTGATTTGATAACTCTACACCAGCGCCCCTGTTTGATATTTAATAAATTAAATTATTATGAACTACTTACCTTCTGGTGATTTAAATGTTAATGCATCCATTGGATTATCATGTTTAATTTCTTTTTTTGCCATCTTTTCCCATCCTGATAATAATTTTTCAGATTTTTCTTCTGAAAATGATGTAGTTAATGATCTTTTAATAACAAATGCATTTTTATTTTCTTAATACCTAATGATTTTATTATTTGTTATTTATATTAAATTAGAATATTAATATTTATATTTAACTTTTTTTTTTTTATATATATATTTATTTTATTTTGTAAATAAAAATTATAGAAATAATACTTTTGAAACACTTGAAGCTTTTAATAAATTCATTTTTACTTTTTATTTTTAAAACTTCGATATTTAAAAATATCAAAATGAACAAATAAATAAACACTGTATAAAAAATATGGGAAATAAAAAAAATTATAAAAAAATTAATAAAAAAATAAAAAAAAAAAAAAAAAAATTTGAAATTTCAAAAAATTTAAATTTCTATTTGGACAATATATTTTTTTTTTGAAATTTATTTACCCCCTTTTAGCTTAACTAACTAATTGATTTTAAAATAAGTCATCAATTTTTTTTTTTTTTTATTAATTGGCACCAACATCAATATAATAATTATAATAAAAATTAACCTTCTATAAATATGGTTATATATCTTTTTTTTTATTTTTTATTTATTTTTTTATTAATATTATTATTTATAATATATTTATTATTTTTTTACGTTAAAATATATTATTATTTATTAGTTATTATTTATTATTATTTAATTTAAACCTTAATTTTTTTTTTTCTTAAAATTAGTATTATTAATTTTTAAATAATTATTTATTTTTTATATATCACTCATAAAATATTTAATCTAAAAAAAAAAATAAAAAAAAATGGGTAAAAAAGGGGCAGCTAAAAAAATTTATGATTCAGTAAAAAGCTTTAAAAAATTGATTGACTCAAACAGTGGAGAAATTCAAAAACTAAACAATATCATTCCTGCTAATGAAGAACTTTCACTTTTAATTAGTAAGGAAAAAAAAAATAAAAAAAATAAACTATAATAAAGTAATTAATTTATTTATAATCAATATTTAGAAAGCATTGTACCATATGATGATAAAGATGCTGATAATATATTAAATAACACTTCAAATAAAAGAAGAGTTCAAAGAAGTAACCAATGCACTTTTTATAGTGTTGCTGAATCGATCATTGAAATGGTTCCAATATCAAATTTTAATGTATGTCTTTTTTTAATTATAATGGCCTATTATTACGACCATTATAATAGAAACAAAAACTTTTCAATATATAGAACCATAATGTTACACAAGGTAGCAGGTGTTGCATCAAGATTCTATGACTTAGATTCTGAAGTTGGTAATGAAGATGATCCAAATCAAAGTGGAATGGTTATTGATGCTTTGAATAATCAAAAAAATGTATCTTTTGCCATAGAACTAACTCTAGGATTATGGAGAACATTCGAAAAATGTGCTAAAGGTAAAACAGAAGATGATGCAGAAACTGATTTAGAAAGAAGTGAAAAAGATGAAGAGACATCCAGACATGCAATGAATATAGTTGGATACAATTATAAAAAAGAATGCTTCATCGTCAAAAACCATTGGGGTGAAGATAAATTCTTTTATCTTCCATTTAAGGTTTTGGATATGAAAAAATTAACAAAACCAATATTGATTTTTTTTAATAAAAATAAATAATTAAAAACAAATAAAAGCTTTTATTTAAAAACGATCCCTTTTTATTTACAATTGTTGATTTCTTTTTTTTTTTTTGAAAAATAAAGTTGGTTTAAAGTGAAAATAATTAAACTAAATGTTGTTGCGATAGCTGTAAATCTGAATAAATACATTGGTGATTTATGTTCATATAAAAACCCACCAATGATTGATCCTAAACCTGCACCCAATCCACAATAAATACCTGAAAAAATACCTTGGTATGTAGTTTCATACCCTTTTGGTGCCATTTGATTTGATAACTCTACACCAGCACCCCTATTTGATATAAAAAAAAAATTATAATTATATATTAGTATATAAGCTTTTTTATTATTTAAATGGCACTATTACTACTTACCAAATAGTTGCAAAAGCAATACCATGTAAAATTTCAATTGGTAAAACAAACCATGGTGAAATTGATTCGATTGCTAGAATATTATATAAACATAAACGTGTAATAAAGCAAACATGACCAATAATGATCATTTTATTTACACCCACTATTGTTAAGAGCTGTTTACCGAAAAAGAAAAAAGGCAACTCCATTACTACTGTAAATGGCATAGTACTTCCCAAAAGCAATGAGCTGGCATGTTTTACATCGTGAAGGAAGAGGAATAAATAATTACCAATTATATTAGCTGTCATACCACAAATCATTACTGCAAATAAAAAGATCATCATATGAGCATCTTTTAATAAATTGACTATAACCTGCTTTGTAGTTAATCTTTCCTCGAGTGTATTAGTTTCTTCTTGAATTTGAATCGATGTTATATTTTCACTAGAGTCCTCTTTATCCAAAAGATTGTTCTTCATATCGTCATCGTATGATTTTGGTGTGATGGATGGTGATGAATTTACTGACGAGTTTTCAGATACTTGCTCCAATACTATATCTTCGCTATTTGATCCATCTGCTGTAGATTCTTTTACAGTTTCTTCCTCCTCGAGTAATTTTCTAAAATTTGTTAAACTTGCACCAGACTTTTTCAATTTGGATCCCATGGTAGTCTGATTGTAAATGTAATAAGCTATAAACAATACCATCCAAAAAGCATAGGAAATAAATATTGAGTTGAGAGAGTGATGAATGAGAATACCTGTAACGAATGCAACAATACCGTAACTAATTGCCCCAAACAATCTCTGCATGCCATAATACTTTGAATCTTCGCCCATTTGTTTTAAAACAAAGCTGTCTACTATCGGAAAAATGGGTGCAGAGCTTAAACTATAAAGCCCAACTAATAAGAAAATTCCAAAAAGATTGCCATCAGTTGGAATTAATAAAACCAATGCAATTATTGTAAGTGAACAATTTAATATCAATACAAGTCTATGTGAATTATATTTATCTGCTAAACCAGTCCACAACGGTGCCGCTATAAATGATAGAAATGGAATTAAACACGTTATTATACCTATAATTGATGGTGTGATGGTTTCGAAACTATGTAAATAAATACTGATAAATGGTTGAAAACATGATAATGATGCAAAACCTAAAAAATATATTATTTTAAAATTTGTAAATTTTTTAAAATTTTCAATTGTTTCACCCATTCTTATCTATGATATTAATTATTGGCTGCTACATTGTTCGATTGGTAGGGTGAAATAAAAATTAAAGTAAAAAAATTTTAAAAACAAAATAAAAAAATTAAATTAATATTAATTCAAAAAATACGAAAAAAATGATTTTTTTTTTTTAAACACTCGAAATAATTACATTTTCAAAAAAAAAATTTCTTTTTTTATAATTTTTTTATTAGATTCCAAATATTTATTTGTTTATTTTTTGTATTTACTTGTGCATGAAAAAAATTATTTATCTTTGTAGCCTTAAGATGAGTTGTAAGAAAAAAACAATGATAAATCAAAAAATGTCAAAAAAAATAAAAATAAAAATAATTTTTAAAAAAAAAAAAAAAACAAAAAAAACATTTATTTCGGGATTCATTAGTACTGGGATTTCTTAAAATGACCAACCGATTAAAGAAAAATGCAAATTATTGTTTTTTTGGAAAGAAGGATTTTGTGTATAAAAATAAAGATATTTTTGGATTTTTTTTTTAAGATTTGAATTTGATTCTTAATTAGATTCATGAATTTTTGATTAATCAAAAAAAAAAAATAAAAAAAAAGATAAGAAGTAAAATTAAGAAGTTTTATGATTACTCAATGAGTGAGTTCAAAAATTATAAAAAAAAAAAAAAAGAATAATTTAAAATTTTAAAAAAATTTTAATCAACTATAATCTAATAATAAATTTATTTAAATTCTTTTGAATTAAATCCAATCAATCAATCAAATCAATCATAATTAAATCAAATCTTTAGTTTTTTAAATAGATTCAATAAATTTTTTTTTTTTTCAATATTTATAATAATTTAAAATTTATTATAATTTATAATTTATAATTTATTATATTTGAATCGGCTATTAATTTAATTAATTAAAATTTATTTTTAAAAAAATTTACAAATATTTTTTTTTTTTTTTTTTTTTTGTATTTTTTTATTTTTTAATTTTTTTAATTTTTTTTTTAATTTATTAATTTTTCATATTTTTTTTTTCTTTTATAACCAATCAAATACTATTACACTACTGTTTGTTTTATTATCCTTTATTTTCTTTTTTTGTTGGAAAGACATAACAAATTTTTTTTAACAAAAATATAATAATAGTAGAAGTCCTGCAAAGATATATAATATAAATAAACTCATACTCACACTCACCCACACTTACACACAACAAAATATAGATTTTCACTCACACTATAATATTTATTTTTATATATTTTTTTTTTTTCATAATAATAAATATTGTTTTAAATATAATATTAATAATAATAATATAATTGTAAACACAAAAAATATATTTACCCAATAACTCACACATAGTACACCCACCACCCACACATAAAATACATATAAATATATAATTCAAAAAACGCATATGGTAAATATTTTTTATAACCTTCTACTCTGTTAATCATATTTGCTCTTTTTATTATTATTATAAACTTTTGGTTATTATTTTATATTATCAATAATAAAAACAATCATATAAAATTAAAGCTTTAAAAAACAAAAAAAAAAAAAAAAATTAAATCATCATTTTTTTTACAACATATTCAATATATATATTTAAAAAAAATATTAACATTACTTATTTTATATTAAAAACTATTAATAATAAAAAAATTTAAAAAAAATAAAAAAAAATAAAAAAAATAATTATTGTATAGTCTATGATGATTTCAAATAATAATTCAGAATCCAGTAATAGTGGAGAGGAGTATAAAAAAATTTTGGACTCTTTTAGTGAAAAAATTAAAATCAAAGATTCATTAATAAATAAAAACAACGAAAACAAAGAAAACAATAATAATAATTATAATAACAATAAAGTATATACTATTACATTAAGTGGAAATGGAGCAGAGCCACCATTTAAAGCAAAAGGTTTAATATTAGATCATTTAGGAACTCTTAGAATTATAATTCCAGCAGGTCTTGAAGTTGCATCATTAAATCCAATCATCTATACAAATTATCCATCATTAAATGAACAATTTCAACGTGAGAAATATTCTGTTTTTCATAAAGGGTAAGTTTTTTTTTAAAATTACTTTATTTTATTTTTTAATAAATATACTAATAGTTTAATTTATTTATAGACCAGTTAATCCATATAGTGGTAATAATGATTTAATTTTTGAACAAAAAATTGAAAAATATGGGTGCTTTGACTATTATGTTGAATGGGAAGATGTTGAAGAAGGAAAAACAAAGAGGGGCGAGCTAGGAACATTCCAAATCAATCCAGTTTTAAAAATCAACGACTTTAAATTGCCAAGTGATGGTATTATTTTAGAAACATTTTTAACCAAATGTATGGGTCCATTAAAAGATTGGGAAAAGCATATTTCAATGGCATCAAAATTAGGATATAATATGATTCACTATACCCCAGTTCAAGAAATTGGCGCCTCTGGTAGCTCATATAGTATTTATGACCAACAATCAATCTCATCTAAAATTTTCGAACCAGAAAAACCAACTGAACAAGAGAAACTTCAACAGCTCTCACAATTTATTGATAGGGCCGAAAAAGAACACAATGTATTGGGTATGATAGATTTGGTTTGGAACCATACAGCCCATAATAGCAAGTGGCTCAATGAACACCCAGAGGCTGGTTATAACACTGACAATTCACCACATTTAAAGGCCGCTGTTCTTTTAGATCAAACTCTTTGCGGCTTTGGTAAAAGTCTTTATGGTAAAGAAATAGAATCAGTTGAAGCATTGGAAAAGTTGGTCAAAGAAATCAATGATAAAGTTATTGCTCCATTAAAACTTTGGGAATATTATGTGCTAAATATTGAAAAGGAAGTAGAAATATTTAAAAATACATATCATTCATCAAATAGAGTCAGAGAAGCTGTCCCATCATCTGGATCAACATTTTCACCATCTTTCCTCAAGAATATCATCAACAATCCAACAAGCGAAAAGCAAGAAATGATTAAAAATATCTCAAAAAATGGAACCATTAGAGCACCATCCTATGATCGTTATTCACTTCATATAAATTTAGACTACACCTACAAGATTTTAGATTCATCTCCATCTTTCGGTCCACTAACACCAGAAGAACAAATCCAAAAGTATGAAGATATCCTCAAGATTGTTAATCTTCAATTGTATCGTGAATATGACCATGATGTCGAAGCCATCATCAAAAACATTACAGAAAGAATTAAATATGAAAGAATCAGTTCACATGGTCCAAGACTAGGTGTAATTAGTTCATCAAAACCATTATTAAATAGCTACTTTACATTTATTCAATTCCGTGAACCAAATGGTTCAATTCGTGAAATTCCATTAGCTAACAATGGTTGGATTTTTAATCATAACCCAACTATTGATTTTGCAAGTAGTGAATCGCGTGCCTACCTTCGTAGAGATGTTATTATCTGGGGTGATTGCGTCAAAATGCGTTATGGTAACTCACCATCAGACAATCCATGGCTTTGGGAACACATGAAAACCTACACCCAAAAAATGGCTCGTATTTTCCATGCAATTAGAATAGACAATTGCCATAGTACACCAATTCATTTAGCTCAATATCTTTTAGATGCCGCTAGGGAAGTTAGACCTGATATCTATGTAACCTGTGAGCTTTTTACCGGTAGTGAAGAAATTGACGATATTTTCGTAAAGAAGTTGGGTATCAATTCATTAATTCGTGAAGCTATGCAATGCCATGACCCTTCAGAATTTAGTCGTGTAGTCTATCGTTATGGTGGCTCACCAATAGGAAGTGTTCATGACTGCGAATATCATTCAAAATATCCAAGTACCTCTCAAAGCTATAACACTAAACCATTAAAACCAACATTACCACCAGCCCTATTCATGGATTGTACCCATGATAATGAAACACCATACCAAAAGAGAACTGTTTATGACACTTTACCAAACGCTGCAATCGTTACTATGACAGTCAGTGCTATTGGATCAACAAGAGGATATGACGAAATTTTCCCAAAAACTATTGATTTAGTTAATGAAACTCGTCTTTATAACCCAAACTTAAACCTATCATCTGGTATACTCCCAGTTCGTACACTATTAAACAAACTTCACTTGGAGCTCTCGGTCAATGACTACAGTGAAACTCATATTCATCAAGACGGCAACCTATTATTTATTCAAAGATATTCGCCATCACTAAACCAATCAATATTCTGCCTATCCCATTCAGCATTCTCCAGTGATCAAAATAATAACTATGAAGACCATGAAATCATTATTCCAAGTAAAATTACAGAACTTATTTTTGGTGCAAGAATTACAAATGTACATAATAACAATCAACCATTTGAAAGCAAAGACTTATTAAAAGGTTTTAATGTCGATTGCGAAATTCTCTATTCTACTAAAGTTTTAAATCAAATGTGCCATTTGCGAGATTTAAATCATGATGTCGGTGTAGTATTAAAGTAAGTATAGCCAATTAACAACTAAAATAGTTTTAATAATTTATAATACTAATTTATTTTAATTTATTTTTAGACTAAAATATTTCCCAAAGGGTTCAATTTTAATTTTTAGAGGTGAACTCCCAAAAGATTGTGTTGAATCAATAAAGAGAATAGAATCATATATCGGTGACCAAAACAAATTAAATAAAACATTTGAAAATATCAATTTAATTGATATGAACGTTTTATTATACAGAATTAACGAAGAAGAGAAGTCAGTTACAGGTCATGGTGCATATCATCTTGATAATATTGGGGAATTACCATTCTGTGGCCTTTCAGGCTTTGTATCAGTTTTGAAGAATATTCATCAATATAATGATTTGGGTCACCCACTTTGCGAAAATTTAAGAAAAGGAAATTGGGCTTTGGACTATATTTCAGGTCGTCTTAATCAAAGACCAAATCTTTCGTCTGTTAAAGATTGGCTAAACTATTGTTTTGTTCATTTGAAACGTCTCCCAAGAAATTTGGTTCCAATGTATTTCTATCAAATTATCATCACTGCTTATCGTGCCTCTGTCGATAAATCTATTTCGTTAATGCCATCATTCATCCAAAATGCAAACTGGTTTGTACATAAACTCGCCGTTACCACTATTCAATTCTTTGGTGTATCGACTCCACTCATCAGCAATCCAAATGTACTTGAAGGTGTTCAAGATCGTGAAGCTTCATTAGCTGCTGGATTCCCTCATTTCGCCACAGGATATATGAGATCATGGGGCAGAGATACTTTTATTTCTTTACGTGGTATTCTTTTAGTAACTGGTCGTTATCAAGAAGCAATTAACATCATTGTCGGCTTTGGTGCATGTCTTAGATTTGGTTTAATTCCAAATCTTCTAGATTGCGGTACAAAACCAAGATTCAATTCTAGAGATAGTGTATGGTGGTACCTTAGAGCCATTCAAGATACCTATAATTGTTTACCAAGCGAAAAAGAAAAAGAACAATTCCTTCAAACCAAAGTATATCGTTTATTCTCACCACCAGAATATGTTTCACCATACAGCACAGTATCCGAAATCATTCAAGAGATTTTACAAGCACATGCCTCTGGTATTCACTTTAGAGAACCAAATGCTGGTAGAGAAATTGATGACCGTATGAGAGATGAAGGCTTCAACATTGATATTGATCTCAATAGAAAGAATGGTTTCCTTTATGGTGGAAATCGTTCAAACTGCGGAACATGGATGGATAAGATGGGTGAATCAACCAAAGCAAACAACTATGGCGAACCAGCTACTCCACGTGACGGTGCTCCAATTGAAATTACTGCTATGCTTTACTCAACTGTTAGCTGGTTATCCTCACTTTATAGCTCTGGTAAATTTAAATTTGGTGGTGTTGATTTGGCTGACGAGTCTGATAAATCAAAAGTTACTAGCTTTACCTATGATCAATGGTCAAAACTTATTCAAGCCAATTTCGAAAAATTCTACTACATACCATCAAGTAATGAAGATAAACAATACACCATCAATACAAGCTATGTTCATCGTAGATATATTTATAAAGATGTAGTTGGAAGCGCAAACATATACCAAGACTATCAATTTAGACCAAATCTTTGCGTTGCAATGTCATTTGCCCCACAACTTTTCGATAATCAGCATGCAAGTAAATGTATAGATGTAGTTAGATCACATTTAGCAGGTCCACTTGGTATGAAAACCCTTGATCCAAATGATCCATCTTACCATGGTAACTATGATAACGCTGCTGACTCTGGCTACAAACCAACATCAAAAGGTTTCAACTACCACAATGGTCCAGAGTGGGTTTGGGTTTATGGATTCTTCTTAGAAAGTATCATTCAATTCAAACATTATCCAAACATCTCAACTAAAAACCATTTAATTGAAGGACTTTTAGTAAACCACAAGAATCACATCCAAACCTCACCTCGTTCATCTCTACCAGAACTTACAAATCGTGATGGTCACTATTGCAGAGATAGTTGTGACTCTCAAGCTTGGTCAATCGCTACAATCTTGGGTGCCTTGGATAAACTATCAAAAAATAAAAATTAAAACTCCATTTTAAAAAATTGTGATAGTAATAATAAAAAATTAAATAAAATTAAATTGTTTTAAAAATTATTTGTTTAAATATCCATTTTTAAAAGATAAAGACAATTAAAAAACTTTATTTTAAATTTAAAAACTTTATTTTTTTTTTGTTTATTAATAATTTAATTTGAAACTGAAATTGATTCTACTTCAATATAGTCATCATTTAACTCATCATAACCAGTGATTGCAACTGCCATAAAGTCATGAGCACCAAATTCTGAAAGTGGAATTCTAATCATAGCAGATTGGCCATCAACATAGTTTTGGACATAACGAGATAGTGAAGTACTTCTAACATATTTATCATTAGCAATTAATAAACTAACATCTGTATCTTCCAAAATACTCTTATATGAGTTTACTTTTAAGTTGATAGTTTGCTTTCCTTTGCCACTAATACAATTGGTACCTGATGAACACTTGAAGAAAAGAGCTTCGCCTGGAATTGGTTGGGTTTCATAATGGTTAACAGCTTTTGAAGTTTTTACACCTTTACTAATATCAATGAATTCTTTTTCTAAAACACCTTTATTAACGATATATTGAATGTTCATACCCAATGGAGTTTGATTTAATTTGGAGACAAGATCGACCTCAGGTTCTCTCTTTTTATATTCTTGTTCTCTTTCTTGGTCAAGTCTTTGTTGAGTTATTCTTTCTTCTTGAACTCTTTGTGAATTATATTCCCTAGCATCGTTAATATGTTCTCTTGGTACTTGTTGTGGGGATTGCTGATGTTGTTGTGGATATGATTGATGTGGCTGTTGTTGTGGATATGATTGATGTTGTTGTTGTTGTGGATATGATTGGTGTTGTTGTTGTTGTGGGTATGATTGGTGTTGTTGTTGTTGTGGGTATGATTGTTGTTGATAGTTTTGGCTATATGCAGCATTTGCTCCGCCAATAATAATATCGGCACAAGTTAAATAATACTCTTTTGGATTGAATTCCCAAAAGAACTGTAAAACATATAAACCACTTTGAACGTTGTTTGGTAATTTGAAACATGATGTACATGTTGAATTATTAGTATTTTCATAATATTTTGAACAATTACCAAATGCACTAGAATGAACTGGATTGTTAAAAAATACACTTTGGTCATTATCAACCATCTTTTAGTTTATATAAAAATAAAATATTTATTAGTATATAATCTATTTTAAATTAATATAGCTATTTGAATACATACATCAGAGCTAGACATTTTATTAGAAAGATAGAAACTAACGGTACCAGCTCTAAGTTGATTAGCATGATTTCTAGCAGGCCATTGTGGACAGATAGTCTGACCTGGTTGGAATTGGCCCATTGGGTATTTTTGAGAGTATTGTAATGAAATTGGATTTGTTCTTCTTTGAACAGGACCACATGCTTGTCCAAGTTCGGTTGGATGTGGTTTGGTGAATTTACCCCTTTGGAACAAGAATCCATCACCTTGATCTACATGAAATTTATAATTTCTAGGATATGCTTGACATGACTTTGATCCAAAATCCCAATTCACACAACTCATAAAAGAGTGTGCTTGAATTTTTAAGATATTAAATAAAAATAAAATAACTAAAAAATATAAAATTTTCATTTTTTAGTTTATTAAATAATTAGTTTATTTAATAATTTTAATAAAATAAAAATAGGAAATAAAATAAAGAAAAAAAAAAAAAATTATATTACAAAAAAATAAAATAAAAATTTAATTTTATTATATTATTATTTATTGATATTATATTTTACAAATTTAATACATTGCCAGCAATATTATTGCATAAAGTAAATAAATTGTTTTTTAGTAGCGAGGATTATTTAATTATTTATTTTATTTTTTTTTATTTTTTTTTTTAATTATAATAATAACATTATTGTTATACCATTACAATGATAAAAAAATGTAAATATAGGGTTAACCCGACACCCCCTATTTTTTGTGAATTCTTTTAAATAAAAAAATAAAAAAAATAGAAAAAAAATGTATTTAAATAGTTGGGGTGCGATATTTTTTCAAAAAGTTAAAACTATAGCAAACAAATATTGATTTTATAGGTTAAATCTTTACAAATAACTAATTTTCAATACTTACAGTAATGAATATAATCATATATACATATGTTTTATTATAATAAAATGAAAAAAAAAAATTATTTTTAAAAAAAAAAAATTTTATTTTTTTCAAAATTTTTTTTTTTTTTTAATTTTAAATTTTGAAAATAGTTATAAATGTATATAAATGGATAATGAAAAACAAAGCAACTCCACAATTAATACAAAAGAAAACTCACTAATAGATATTCATAAAATAGAAAAGATTTTAAAAGATATACTAAAGAAGTATGAACATAAAACTCAATTCAAACAAGACTCTGTTTTAACCCTAGAAAGGATGGTAGAGTTATTTTTAGGAATTATTTTAAAAAACAATACTAGTAACAATGTGTTGACCGTAAGTGGAATTTACAAAACAATAATGGATTTAGAATTGGACTTTTTATTACCCGATGGGGGTATAACAAAAAAAAATAGGTTTGTATCAATTAAAATTTTTATTTAAAAAAAAAAAAATCTAATTAATAAATTTTATTAGTGGAGTAGATAATCTAAACGATTATTTTTGTAATGATGAAGAAAATCACAAAAACAACTATTTTTATGATAATGACGATGACCAAGATTCTGAGGAATATGAAAACTTTTCAAATTTGGATTCATTATAATAAACATTTTTTAAAAAAAATCAATCAAAATATTTTGGTAAAAAACTGCAAATTACTTTTTTAAGATTTTACAAAAAAAAAAAATAAAAAATAAAAAAAAAAATAAAAACAAAACAAAACAAAAACAAATAACATATTTATTAAATAATCTTTTTTAATCTTTTTTTTCCTTTATTTATTTTATTTTATTTTATTTATTTATCCATTTATTTATTTTTAAATTTTTAAATTTTTAATCATGGTTTAAATTTTACACACATATGAAAAACAATTAACCATCAAATTATTTTGGGTTGGTATTTTTCAAATAATTTTTTTTTATTTTTTATTTTTAAAAAAAAAAATTTTAAAATAATTTTTTATTTTTTTTTTATTTTTTTTTTTTTTGAAAAATTTAAAAAAAAAAAAATTTAAAAATATTTTATATATCATTTTAACAATTATTTATTTATTTATTTATTTATTTTTGTATCATTATACATTTAAGGTAAATTTAAACTATGTTTTGTTTACTTTGTTTTGTTTTGCTTATTTAATACTATTCCACATTTTTTTTAATTAAACAAATGGCATATGCGCATAAAATTTTTATTTTTGTTTTTTTTATTCTGTTTTGTTTTTTGTTTTTTTTTTTTTTTGTTTTTTTTGCATTGTTATAAAAAACCAATATAAATATTTTTTTGATGATTAATCAAATTTAAATTTTATTTAAATCACTTATATCTTTTATTTGATAAATTTAAATTATATTATTTTTCATTTTTGATCAACCAAATTTTTATTTTTTTTATTTTTTTTTTTTTTTTAAAAATCATCAATAAATTTATAATACAATAGATACAAATAAAAATAAATATAGTAAATAATTAACATCATCAAAAATAAAGAAAATAATTATTTATCGTCAAACTTAAAAAATAGAGAAATTTTTTAAAAAAAAAGAAAAGGGTGGATATACATCATATTGACACACCACACACAATTATTGGTTTTGTTTGTTTACTACCAATTTTTTCTTTATTTCACCTTATATAATAAATATATTTATTTATTATACATATATATTTATTAATTAAATCAGAATCAAGATTTAAATCTATAATTATCTCTAAGGGCACACAGAACAATTTGGTCAAATTAAATTTAATAAAAAAAAAAACTTTGTTAAATAAACACCCCTTTATAAAAACACCCACCAAAAAAAACAATCAAAAAGTATCATTATTATGAATATTATTAAAAAAAAAAAAATAATAATTATATAATTGTGTGTTAATAGACCACAAATTCTTTTTGGTTTTTTTTATTTGTATTTTTTTTAATATTTTTTATTTTATTTTTATTTTGTTTTTTTTTAAAAATAGAGTTTGAAAAGAGAATAGAAAAAAAAAAAAAAAAAAACTTTATTTTAAATACTTAACAATTATTTATATGGTTTTTATGTTTATATGTATGTTATTTTTATCTTTTTTTTCATATTTTTTTTAAAAAATAATAAAACGGTTATACAAAGTGGATTTCCATTTTTTTATAAATTTTTTTTTTTTAAAATTTTTTTTCTTTTTTTTTTTATTTTTTAATTTTAAAATTTTAAAAACAGTGTGCACAGATTTCTTACTAATCAAAAATTTTCTCATTTAAATAGAATAATTATTTTTTTTTTTTTAAAATAAAAAATATAGAATTAATTTTTAGATAAATAAAAAAGATAAAAACAAACAGAACTGTTGGAATTATTTCAAATTAAAACAATCAATCAATCAATCAATCAATAATTTAAAGAAATAAGTTCAATTTTATTTTGTTTTTTTTTTTCTCGCTTTATATAAAATATTTTAATTTTTTTTGTTAAAATAATATAATAATACTACAGTAGTATTTTTTTTTTGTAAATTTATAAATTATTTATTTTAAATAATAATAATAGTTATTTTGTAATCATATTCCCCTATTTAACTATTTTGTTTTTTTATACATATAAATAAAATCACACCCTCCCTTATCAACTCCTTGTAAAATTCACACAAACAACAAAAACAACAACAACAACACCAAACAAAACTTTTATCCGATAAGAATATAATAATAATAAAATGTCACTTACATTAAAGATTCAAATTGTAAGAGATAAGCAAGTAAAGGCTATGAAGTTTTCACCAACACAAACAGTAGCAGAAGTTTGTGCACAAGTACGTGAAAAGATTAATGAAACATCAGGTGATGATCATGGTCTCTTCCAGCCAGGTATCGAAGGTAAAAGACCATCAAGATGGTTAAAGATGGAAAAAACTTTACAATTTTACGATTTAAAGATAAATGTTTGTGTGCAAAAAATATTAATATTATATTTTTTAAAATTAATACTAATTTTTTTTTTTTCTCTTTTAATAGGATGAATTAGACTATAAAAAGAAACACAGACCATTAAAAGTTCGTTTAATGGATGAAACTGTTAAAACTTTATTAGTAGATGATAGTTTGACCGTAGCAGAAATTTTAGAAATTATAGGTAAAAGAATTGGTATTAAAAATTATGAAGAATTCTCATTACAAAATGAAACCAAAGAAGGAGAATGGTTAACCCATTCACAACCACTTCACGAACAAGGTGTTAGCGATGATGCAATTTTATTACTTAAAAAGAAATTCTTTGTTGATGATTTTAATGTCAATAGAGACGATCCAATTCAACTCCATTTAGTTTACGTTCAATCCAGAGATGCTATTGTTAGTGGTTCACATCCATGTTCATATGATGAGGCCATTCAATTTGCAGCACTTCAATGCCAAGTTCAATTAGGTAATCACAACCCAAATCTTCATAAACCAGGTTACTTAAAGATTAAAGAATATTTACCACCATCATTCCACAAGAAAAAAGAAGCCGAAAAAGATATTTATAAAGAATTTAGAAAGTTAACTGGTATGTCAGAATCAAATAGTAAATTTAGATATGTTCAATTATGTAGATCTTTAAAGACCTATGGTATTACCTTTTTCCAAACTAAAGTAATTATTTTTTCAAAAAAAAAAAATTATTTAAAAATTATTTTATTAACATTTTTCTTTATTTATAAATAGGAAAGAGTCAAGGGTCAAAAGAAACCAGTACCAAAATTATTAGGTATTACTAGAGATTCGATTTTACGTTTGGATGCAGAAACTAAAGAAGTCGAGCACGAATATCCCTTAAACCATTTAAGACGTTGGGCTGCTTCCCCACAATCATTCACTTTAGATTTTGGTGATTACGAAGATGATTACGTTAGTGTTATGACAACTGAAGGTGAAGCTATTTCTCAATTATTAAGTGGTTACATTGAAATTCTTATGAAGAAAAGAAAGGATACTGGTACAGTCATCGAGGAGAATGAAAATGATATTGCCAACGTTGAAAGTGTTGGTAGAATTCGTGGTCAAGTTTCACAAGCAACTACATCATCTTCATTAAGCGGTTTTGATGGTTCTGGTGGTCGTGAAGGTCAATATTCATCACCAGGTCAAGCTATGGGTTATAGAGGTGGTTTAGGTGGACCATTATCAGTCAAAGTTACCAATGTTGATAGTGCTAGTGCTGCTGTTGCCAATCTCTTAAATGAAATGCAATTGGATCCAAATAGCGTCATTGGTCAAAAGAGTGCTCTTACACCAGCTCAATGGCGTCAACAATTAGCTATTCATGCTAAAGCAGTTGCTGCTGCTGCAGGTAAACTTCTTGGTAACCTTAATAATCCAAATGGTTTAGATAAAAGTCAAATGGATTCAAACGCTCGTGATGTAGCCCTTACAATCGATCAATTAGTTCATGCTGCTCGTGCTGCTTCAATTGCTAGCGGCGAAGATCCAGATGGTGAAATGCCACTTTTCGATGGTGCTAAAGCAGTTGCCGAATCAATTAGTAAACTCTTAAAAGCCACCAAAGATCTCTCAGCCAATCCAGAAGATGAAAATGCTCGTAATCTTATTCAACAAGCTGCTGATCAATTAAAATTAATGACTGCATATTTGGATGGTGCTTGTAATGGTGTTATTACTGATCCAGGTACATTAAAACTTTTATTAGAAGCCGGTAAAGCTATTGCCATTGCCACCCAAGATCTTGTTAATCAATCACAAATTGCTATTGCCAATGTTAATGATCCAATTAGAAAACAACAATTAAATATGGCTATTGAAGAGACAAGTAAAGCTGGTATCCATGCCTCAGCTGTCGCTCAAGCTTTAGCTGCCACAATTTTAGATCCAAATTGTAGACAACAATTTAACACTGCCGCTAAAACTGCCCAAGATACCAATACTTATCTTTTAAGTGCCGCTAAAGCTGCTCAATTAGATGCAGCTACTCTTGAAAAACTTCGTAATGCTGCTAAAAACATTACTGATGCTTTTGGTAATCTTTTACAATCTGCTGATTTAGCCCAACCAAAATCAGCCGATGATCTCGAATTTACAAATGCTGCTAAAACTATTCTTTCAGCTGCTGCCCAACTTTTAGGTTCACAAGGCAAATCTGATAATATCATTGCATCATCAAAACTTATTGAAGAAGCTATGGGCCAATTAATTGCAGGTGCTCGTAGAGCTGCACTTAAAGCTGAAGATCCAGCTGTTCGTGATCGTCTTATTCAATGTAGCAAGGCTGTTGCTGAAGCAGTTAGAAATCTTACCGAAGTTGCACAAGAATCTGCTGATAATCCAGAAGATAAGGTTTTATTTGCTAAACTCCAAGAGGCTTCAAAGAGAGTTGCTACTGCTGTCAAACAATTAGTTGGTGATGCTGGTAAAGAGTCTGCATTCCAAGCTCTTCGTACCAATGCTAAATTAGCTTGTGCTGCCACCCAAGGTCTTATGAATTCATGTAGACAAGCCATGCTTCAAAACCATGTTCCAGATCAAGAAGCCAACAAACTTTTATTATCAATTATCAATGCAAACGCTCCAATTAATAATTTATTAAATGCAATTACTAATAGTCAAAAGAATCCAAATGATATGAATGCTCAAAATCAACTTATTGATGTTGCAAGAGCTTCCGCTCCATTAGCTTATCAAGTAGTTGCCACTGCCAAAGGTTCAGTTCCACACGTCACTGACAGTAATTCAAAGAGTGAGGTTTCAAACTCATCAAATATTGCCGCTGATGCAATCAAAGCTCTTTTAGACTCACTTGGTGATCTCACCTCTGCTGTAGGTCAACAAGATTTTGATGATGCTCTTGATCAAGTTCAAGCCCTTGAAGCTGATATGGAAAGCTCTGCTCTTCAAGTTCAATCTGGTCTTATTCAACAAATCCCAGGTCAAACTCGTGAAAATGCTCTCGAGTTATTAAATGTTGCTGCAAGAGCCTTAGGTTCAAGTGCCAAACAAGTTTTATTACAATACAAAAAAGAACCAGAAAAATTAGGTGAAACTTCAAAGAATTTAGCCAGTTCAGTTTCACAAGTTACCAATGCTGCCAAATCAGTTTGTTTCACCACTCAAAATAGATCAGTTCAAAAAGCCGTTTTAGGCGCTGCTAAACAAATTACCACTGAGTCAACCAATCTTGTCAGTTGTGCTCGTGCTGTTACATCCAACCCAGGTGATTCATCATTAGAAAGTGCTCTTCAATCAAGTGTTAAAGCTATTGCTGAAGCCTTAGCCAACTTGTTAACTACCAGTAAAGGTGGTGAACCAGGTGGTAAAGAATTAGACGATGCCATTGAAGCCATTAAAAATGATACCAAACGTATCAATAATCCACCAGTTAATTTAGGTGGTGAAGGCGGTACAAACTCTGAAAAAGCCATTTCATCATGCAAAGCTTTGATTGGAGCTGTTTCACAAGTTGCTGCCAATGCCAGAAGCAACCCATCTGCCCTTGGTACTTCAGCCAAAACTACCTCAAGTACATTCACAATTTTAGTTGATAGTCTTAATGTTTGCACTGGAACTATTCAAAATAAAACACTTGCTATCGAAGTTGTTAAAGGTGGTCAATTATTAGGTTTGGAATCAATTAAATTATTACAAGCTTCAAGATTTGCTGCTTCAAGACCAGGTGAAGGTGAAAATGAACTTAATCAATCACAACAAGCCATTTCAAATATTGCTAAAACCTTAATTTATAATATTCAATCATCAGTCCCAGGTCAAGCTGAAATTGCTGATGCTATCGAAATGGTTAAACAAGCTATTTTATCATTAAACTCAAGCGAATCATCAGGTAGTCGTCCACATGCTTTAGAAGGTCTCTCACAAGCTGCAAGAAGTTTAGCTGATTCAACCAGTCAAGTAGTTCAATCCAAAGGCAACTCTGAAAAAATGGGTACCCAATGCAAGAATGCATCAGAAGCTCTTAAAGATGTTGTTGAATATACCAAGGCATCTTTAACATCAGCTGAGGGTCATCCAGACTCAATTAAAACTTTAGCTGGTAAGGTTGATTATGCTTCAACTTCCCTTGCTGAATCTTGCAAGAAATCTGGCCCACTCAGCGACCAAGAAAAGAAGAATGCTGCCATTGATGCTAAAAGTCTTGCTCTTTCAGTTCCAAATCTTATGAATGCCGCCAAAAAGATTTCTGCTGGTTTAGTTCAAACCAACCCAGAAAAATCAAAAGATATCCTCTTAATCTCTCAAAATATCACAAATGCCACAAGTAAAATGGTTAACACCGCCAAATTGGTTGCTTCAGGTCAAGAGCCAAACAATGTTGAACAACTTGGTTCAATCAAGAAAGAGGTCACTGAATTAATCAATAAACTCTTAAATGCAACCGAAGGTTATGATCCACATTCAACTTCAATTGCTATTGATTTAGATTCACTTGATAAATCCGAACAAGCTTTACTTGACGCTTCAAGATCAACTGCTAATTACATGTCACAATTCATGGCCATCAGTAAAAATATTAGTAGTGGTACTAAAGATCCAAATGTTCACCAACAATTCAGTGGTGCCGCCCAAAATGTTTCAGCTGGTGTTCAAAGTCTTTTAGCTGCTATTAATGGTATGAAACCAGAACAAAAAGATCTCGATGAATCCATTGAAGTTATTCAAAATGCTGTTGTCGATCTCGATTCTGCTACTTTAGCCGCTGCTATTGGTCTCTTAGAAAATACAGCTCCAGCTGGTAAGACAGCACAAGCTTGCCAAGAAGAATTAGTTGAAATCTCAAGAGAGCTTGCTTCATCAATGAAAACTTTCCTTGCTGCACCAAAAGCCGATCCATCAAATCTTGGTAAATCTGCTAAAGATACAGCCAACATTCTTCCAAAGATTGTAAATATTAGCAAACAATTAGCTTCACTCACTACCAATCCAGAAATTAAACAAACTCAACTTTTATTAAGTAAGAAATTAGCCGATAATATGTTAGAGTTAATGATTAGTGCTAAAAGTGGTGATGTTTGTGACAGTAAACAAGCTTTCAATGCTTCACAATCAATTGCTGATATTTTAACTTCAGTTAGAGGTGGTGTTATGCAATCTCGTGATTGTGATGAATCTATTCAAATCATTAATAAATCAAAAGAAAACCTTCAAAAACCAGCCAATCAACAAACTGGTAAGACTTATCAACAATATCGTGATGAAATGACCGAAATTGCCAAATCATTAGCCTTAGGTGTATCACAATTAGCCAACTCTGCCAAATCTAAACCAGAAGAAATTGGTTCATCATCTTTAAAAATCGCATCTATTATTCCACGTTTAGCCGAAACTGCTCGTTCAACTGCTGCCGCTACTAACGATACTGCCGCCAAACAAAAATTAATCGATTCAACTATGGGTATTATTGATGCCACATCAAATATTATTGGTGATGCCAAATTAGCATCAGCTGATCACAAAAATAACCAACTTCAACAAAAGATTTCAAATAACTTTAAAGATATCACCACCCAAATTGCCAATCTCATTTCCGCTCTTAAAGCTGGTGCTACTGGTGATAGAGATATCGAAACTGCTCTCAATGAAGTCAATCATGTTACTACAGATCTTGATGCTGCTTCATTATTTGCTGCTGCTGGTCAAATTGATGTTGATATTGAGGGCCATTCCGCTCAAGATATTCAAACCGAAATTGCCAAACTTTCACAAGAACTTAAAAACGCAAACCATCAACTTGTTGATTCAACTAATAAAACTATTGAAGATGTTGCTTTCTCATCAAAAGCCATTGCATCAGTTAATCAAAAATTATCGCATGCATCTAAAGTTTGTGCTGCACTCACATCAGATTCAGCAACTCAACAAAATCTTTTAAGTTCAGCCAGAGCTGTAAGTAGTAATCTCCAACAAACTATTAGCGCTAGTAAAACAACTCAAAAGAACCCAAGTGATGCCAACAAGACCATATTAAACAAAGCATCTAAAGATCTTGATGATTCTATTGAGTCATTATCTAGTTTGGTACAATCATCAACAACCACCAAAGGTATTTCAGAATTAGAAAATATCTCATCAGAAATTCGTAGACAACTTGCTACTTATGATACACCAAATGCTACTGCTAATGCATCAGCCACCGCCGAAGATGTCGCCAATAGTGCTAAAAATCTTGCAGAATCCATTGCTTATTTGGTTTCAAGTTGTAATAGTAATCCAGAAGAAATTAATGAAGCCTCCAAAGCAACAGTCGCTGCAGTTAAAGGTCTTTTAGCTAATTCTAAAGGTTCAACTCGTCTTACTGATGATGCCGTTATTCAACAAAATGTCACCGAATCAGCCAAAGCTGCTGCTAATACAATCTTAAAATTAGTACAAGCTGCTAAACAACAACGTAATGATCCAACAAACACTCAAGCACAAAATAAACTCTCAGAGGTTTCATCAGAAGTTGTTGAATCAATTAATAATGTTGTAAGTGCCGCTGAAGATTTACCAGGTGGTGAAAGAGCCAAGAAACTATTTGCTGCAGGTGAAAATCTTGAAGAAATGGCAGAAAAAGAACTCAAAGCTGCTGCTGCTATTATTGAAGAAGCCACAGCATCATTATTAAGAGCTAAAAAGAAACGTGAAGAAAACCGTTTAGCATCAGGTGTCGATGAAGCAGGTATTGATGAAGCTATTCTCGAAGCTGCAAGAGCTATCACCTCTGCTACAGGTATCCTTGTACAATGCGCAACTGCAGTTCAACACGAACTTGTTATGGCCGGTAAAGTAGGTAATAAAACTGGTAATGTATATAGAAGAGATCCAACATGGGCTCGTGGTTTAATTTCCGCTGCTCAATCAGTTGCAGGTTCAGTACAAGGTCTTGTAGTTAGTGCTAACAATACTACCCAAGGAAAGGTTGAAGAAGAAACACTTATTGCCTCAGCCCGTGGTGTTGCTGCTGCTACAGCTCGTTTAGTTACTGCAAGTAGAGCTAAAGCTGACTTAAACAGTCAATCCAATTCACAATTAGCTCAAGCTGCCAAGAGTGTATCAAATGCCACCACTCATTTAGTAGAAGCTGCTAAAAGTGTTAATAGTAAAGATGAAGATAATGAACCAGTATTTGATCCATCCGGTATGTCATTCACTGGTCTTAAAGTACATGAAATGGAACAACAAGTTAAGATTCTTAAATTAAAGAAAGAGCTTGAAAAAGCTGAAAAACAACTCTTTACCATCAGAAAATCAGAATATAGCGATAGTTCACCAGCTAAACAAGAAACCGCTCCCCCACCAGCCAGACCACAACCAGCAACTCCAAAACCACAACCTTCTCCATCCACAACTTCAATTTCTGTAGGTACCTCACCAATTAAAAGACCAATGCCACAACCACCATCACCAAATATGACCTCAGCCAATTCACCATCTGCCCCACCAAGACCAGCAATTAAAAAACCAGCAGGTCAATCATCAGCTCCAAAGAAAGTTTATACATACGAAGAACTCAAAACAAAACCAGCAAATATCGACCATAATAATTTAGAAAACTATTTAAGTGATGAAGAATTCACAAAGATTTTCAACATGAATAGAGATGAGTTTGGAGCTTTACCAGCTTGGAAACGTTCAAATTTAAAGTCTAAATTATCATTATTCTAAAAAATAAAAAAATAAAAAATAAAATAAAAAATTGATTGATTGATTGTAAACATATAAAATAAAATTAAAATTTGTGTATTTATGTATTATTAAAGAATATTAAACATTTTGTTGATTAGAAAAACCCCAAGTCCCAAAACCAAACTAAAAAAGATATTTTAAAATTAATTTTTTTTTTTTTTTTTTTTTTTTATAAATTTTCGAAAATTTAAAATTTTTTTTTATTTTATTTAATTTTTTTAAAACCACAACCCCACATGACATAGTTTTTTAATAAAATTATTAATAAATTGATTATATTTATTAATAATAAATGGGAAAAAGAATATTCATAATATTTTTCCTGTTAATAGTTTTTAATATATATTTTTCTAATCAGCTTATTATAAATAGTAATAATAATTATAAAGATAATAATATAAACAATATATATATTAATAAAAATGGTAGTGATATTAATAATGGAACAATAGAGTTTCCATTTTATAGTATTTGTAAAGCTATCAATTATACAAATTCAGTAATAAACTCAAATATAATTAACTTTTTTATTGGTTCCGGAGAATATGATTGCTCTAACTGTACATTAAACATTTCCAATAAAAACCTTATTTTTCAAGAATTTTATTTCAACAACAACAATAATTACAATAATTATAATAATTATTATAATAATAATAATAATTTAACCTTATTTCAATTAAATATAAATATAAATAATTCAAGTTTAATTTTTAATAATGTTTCACTATTATATTACGATTATAATCTTTTTTTATTTAATGTCGAAAATAATAGTAGCTTAATACTCAATCAATCAAATATTACGTTTCAATATATTTTAGAATCCAGGATAGTGTTTGTAAATTCAAAAATTCAATTTTTAGAATCTTTTATTTATGGTAACGCTATGTATGCAAATATTATCGATTCAAAAAATTCAATTATTATATACAACAATTCAACTGTAGAAGGTATTATATATTATATTGAAGGAGGCCAATTGGTTTCAGAAAATTCAATACATTTCCAAGAAGAAATATTTTTTGTGCCCAATAACGGGTCTATTCAGGAAACCACAGGATTATATTCAAAATCCTTAATTAAATATCCAACATACCATTTCAATAGTGGATACATTAACGTTTCATTTGTTTCATCAGTTATGCTTACATATAGTTCAAACCAAGATTTTTTATTGTTTGATTTAAAACCCAACAATAGTTTAAATATTTATAATTCAAGCATACTTGGTAAAGGCTTCATAACCTATCAAAGATTGATTCAGGCAAATAATTCCAGAGTTGAAGCTAGAGAGTTTTTAATCGGTGATATTGTATTTTCTCAAGATATTATAAATGCAAAAGAGTGCAGTAGTATACATTTGGTCAATACAACAATTGATGGAGTTTCTGTAAATAAATATTTCGTTTTGTCAAATTCGCAACTTTATTTAAATGGTCTAAGTTTAATTCAATTTCCAGGTGTCAATATATATTCAAATTTTGAACTTATACAAATAGCTTCATCTTCAAATGTAACGATTAGTAATTTAATATATGGTTTCCCAGGTTTCCCAATTTACATGGTATACAGTAGCAATATAGTACAATCTTTTATTAGTATAGAAAGCTCACTGTTTAATTACCATAAAGGTTTCATTTTTTCAAATGCTCAAATAAACTTTAAAAATACAAATATAATAAATCATCAAAATTTAGATAGTCTTTTTAAAATCATCTCCTCAAACTTCAAGTGCGACCAATGTCAAATTATGGGTGGTAGTCTTCTAGGGACCACCTCTTTTTTATTTTATTTAGATTTGAATTCAAATTTAACCCTGGTAGAAAGTTTTATTACCGATTCATCAAATATCCTCACAACAACTGTATCAAATAATATTATATTTCAAAATTGTTCCATCCAAAATTTATTTTCACAAAACAATAAAATAATAGACTTAAATGGAGCTTCAAGTTTTATGGCTTATAATACAACATTCGACTCTATTACAAGCAATGGAAATAGCTTTTTTTATGCTTGCGATAATTCTAAAGTTTATTTAGACAATTGCAGATTATCTTTTTTAAGTGGCTCAGGTAGTGCCCCATTTATTTATATCGAATCAAGTTGGTTAAATATTTCAAATAGTCTTATTCAATCATCATCATTTCAAAATACTATGATATCAATTACTTCTTCAACCATGGAGGCCTCCTCGCTAACTATTTTAAATAGTAACAGTAATGAAGGTGTGGTTATTGTAGCTCGAGGACCATCCAACCTATATTTAGCTAATAGCTCTGTTAGTTTTACTTCATTCGAAACATTTTTAATAGCAGACAACTGTAATATTTATTTAGAAGAGTTTATTTTTTCAAAAAATTTTGGCAAATTTATTCAGGTTTTCAATAATAGTCAATTTGTTTGTAATGGTTTGCAATTAGAGACAAATTCAATGATATCAAATGGCCATATCTTTTACTTTGGAGAGTCAAGTGCTACAATTTTATTTTTTTCAACTTCATTAGAGATTATTCCAGATACTATTATGGTTTCAAATAACTCAAATATTCAATTTGAAGAGTTTGGTCTATTATTAAATACCTTTGTTGAAAGTGTTCAAAAGCCATCAATTTTTGAATTTAACAACTCCACTATAATATTCAAAAACTCATTCTTGAGAGGCAATGGTATAGAAGCCAATAGTAATGTATTCAATATTAATGGAGGTTCAATTTTATTTGATGGATGCAGTTTCTTCAATAACAATAACTTTTTAAATGGTAGTTTTTTAAAAGGTTTCAATAAATCCATCATAGCTCTTCAAAATACTGTCTTTGAATATAATGAATTTGTAACAGGAACTATCCAACTGTATGATTATTCTCTAATATCAATAAGGAATAGTAATTTTTCAAATAATTCAAATAAAGCCAAGGGTGGAATAGTTTACTTTGCTGAAACATCAAATTTACAAGATTTAGAATCAAATTTATTTATTTCAAATAAAGCAAATTATGGGGCTGTTTTTTTTTCAGATGTTTTAATTAACTATTGGATAGTATATTTTGATAATAGTTCTTATATTAATAATAAAGCAATTTATGGTAATAAAATGGCAAGTGGTAGGTAGAGTTTTATTTATAAAAAAAAAATATTTATTATTTAAAGATAAATTTATTAATTATTTATTTTTATTTTATATTAGTTCCTTCAAAAATTTCAATCTATTATTTTAACACAGAGTTTTCTACTACAAAAGTAAGAATTGAATTGCAAGATGATTATAATAATGCAGTTACAGATTTTAATTATTTTGCAAATGTAGAAATATCACAAGTTTTATCAAATAATAGCAAGGTTATAGTTTTTTTAGATTCAATAGTTATTAAAAATGGATATGGTTCTTTCAATTATGATTTTTATGCACCCGATTATGTTTCTTATTTTTCTTATGATGTATTTGTACAAAATATAAATGTATCAAGTTTATCAAATACAAGAAATAAAACAAAGTGTCTATCCTATCAAAGGCATAATAAAGAAACTGGCTTTTGTTCATTTTGCCCACCAGACCAAGTTTCAGTAAGAGGTGTATGTTCTCGATGTCCCTCAACACTAAGATGCTTTAATTCTTTGTCAACTATTGAAGGGTATTATTTGGTATCAAATCAAGATCCAAATAGTTTTGAATATAATGTATATCAATGTCCAGTCGATATGTGTTCAGGGGGTAACCAATGCTTTCTAAATTTAAATAGTGGCGATTTATGTTCTGCTTGTCTTGAAGATTTTTTTAATTTATATCCAGAAAGTGTCTCAAAAAATGGGTTGCACTGTTGTAGTTATTATGAACCAAGGTTAATTTCAATTTATTTGTTCTACTTGGTTATACTGGGTCTTATTTTCTCTCTATTCAAATATTCAATTCGTAATAGTTTGGTTGGGGTAATTGTTTTAATGCTACAGTTATATTCAATTATATTTTTCTCAAATAAAGGTCTTTATTTAATACCTTTGTTTAGAATGTCGATTAACTTTATCGATAACTATTGCACAATTAAAGCCAACTATTTTGAAAAATCGATAGTATCATTGGTATCAATTTTAATTGTTTATTTAGTAGGCATCTCAAATATATCATCAAAGGCTTTATTCTATCTTTTAAAATCAAAACCATCCATCTATAAAATGGTGCCAGTATCGGTCAAATACAACTTATATCTCCACAAGAAATATGAAAAAAATTATCTCAAACCAAACAGCTTATATTGGAATTTATTTTTAATGTTATTGCAGCCACTTTTGTTCAGCCTCCTTTCGCTAATAATTCCAAAAAACATAAACGATCAGTTATTTTTGTCAATAGATTTAACAGTTCCATTTTTAAAGTCAAAGCTCCATTGGTCACTTTTTATTATCAGTTGTATTTTATTATTAATAACATTAATAATACTGCCAATTTTATTTTTCATAAAATATAAATTCCCGTTGTCAAAAACAGAAATATCAAAGCCCAAATTAGTAATTCACAAACATTTAAAATTTTCAAATCATTATAGATCAAGATTCAAATACTGGGATTTACTATTTATCTTAAAAAGTTTTTCTTTTAATATTTTATTGATCTCAATGCTTTATTCACCAAACTTTTATATATTTTCAATTTTTTTCACACAAATTATTTACACTTTTATCAACTACTATTTCCATCCTCATACTAATAATTCAATTTTTAAAACCGAAAATTTCTCAAATTTATTTTTAATAACTAATATCATTTTTGTAAATTCAAATCTAATCAACACAATAATACCCAAAAACAATAGGACTATAAATTTAGGTTTAATTATTTCAATTTTAACTTTTTTTAATATAGGTTTTCTCATTTTCCATAGTTTTAAAAATAAATAAAAAAAATTTATTGTTTTTTTTTGAATTATTTATAAAAAGTTTAAAATAGTTTATTTATCTATTCTTTATAACTTTTCATTCATATCTATTACCTTTTTGCTAACCGAGGATATGAATTTTTTTTCTTTGTGTCTTTTAACAAGTATATATGTTAAAGCGACACTAGCCACAGCGACAAAAGCAGCACCACCCAAAGCAATACCAATAATTTTACCTGTAGTAAGTTTGGAATTGGTTGGGCATATAGAGTCTGATTTTGATGATGCCGAATATGAATCTATCAAAACTGAAAAATCGGGATCGATAATAACTGACTCTTTATAATAAGGAATTTGAATACCTATATATGATTGCAAAGATTTTGTTGAGGTTATTGGGTTCATATCGGCATCGAGTTGTACATTTGTAATGGTTCTAATATTTGAATCAACTATACCTCTTTTGATAAATCTACCATACAAAGAATGGTTATCTATTTGTATCTTTATATAATTTGAATTATCACCTGAGGTTGTTTCACCAAATTCTTTATTTGAGCATACCTTCTCGGTTGTGTTTGATTTAATTATGGCAGACATTACCAATTGCAACTCATTCAATTGGCTTTGGAACTGATATTGACCAATTTCAACAGTATACTTCATTGATGATGGATACATTGTAAAGCTTTCGTTGGCAAATGACAAAGTAGTTTCCTCTCTGAACCATTTTAATGTTACATCAATATTTGTGGTTTGGTTATTATTTTCGATGGATGTAAAGAAATGATATGTGGTAGAATCTACTTGTTTCGATAACCAATCATCATTGAATTCAAATGTTTTAACTGCTTTACCATAAATATCGATTTCTCTTAGTGATTTTATTGAAACTAATGAATCATAGGATATGATTGATGTTGTATTATCGTTATTACCAGTATTATTTTTTATAGTTGGTACTTTAATTTCGATGGATGGGGCTCCAGAACCACCACTTCCATCACTATCACTATTACTATCACTATTATTATTTCCAATATTAACAATTGGTGGATTAATTACTATTTGTGATAAACAATCAATACCGATCCATGGGGAATAGCAAACACATCCTTGATTTTCAACACATTTACCATTTGATGGACCTCCACATACTGGTGTACCTTTGCATAATTGTGGCTTATTAGTTGGTACTGGTGTAGTTGTTGGTGGAAAAGTGGGTATTGGTTGGTTGATATAATAATCATAAATTACAGGTACTACTGTGAATGTATTAGATACATAATTGGAAGTTTTGATGAATACTTTGAAAGGTTTTTTTGTAGGTTTGACATTTGGAACTTTGATAGCTGATGGTGAAATTAAAATTCCTTTTGTGTTACTAGTTGTTCCATCACCATAAGTTATGAAAACTTGTGACTCTTTAAAATTTTGACCAATCAGCCATAAATCACCACCATTATCCCTTATTTTATAATTTCTTGTAATAAACGGTTCATTATTTTCAGATGTTACATTTATATAGTATGGGAAACCTTTTTCAATTAGTTGCAAAGCTGAGTATCCACTAGAGAAACCATTATTATTAATAAAGCCATAAACTGATAATAAAATACCATCTGGATATGCAAAGTTGTAATTAATTTGAATTTTACAGGAATATGTTGCTGATGTACTGTTTTTTTTAATTATTGTTGACTTGCATTCAAAAATTCTGTTTGGTGTTGTGCTTAGATATACAATTGGATATTGTTGGTCCTTTAAACCACTTTCCCTATCAATTGCGGTAAATATAAACTCTACTTCTCTATTTGATCCACTAACATCAATTACAGATTTTGAAATATTGAAACTGGTAAGAACTGGAGGATCTGAATCTAGTGATGAAATAAGATGACTCGAACAAGTTACTGGTATTACATTGATTGAAGAATCATTTAAATAATATTTAAATGGATTCATAAAAGAGGTGAGTGTCGTTTGAGAAAATAATGTGAATGAAGACATTCTATCCATTTTATCGTACATATCCACATGACTAATAATATAATTTTGAGATATACATGGGTAGGTTACATTGATTTTGAAATCATATTCACCCAAAAATGCATTACCACCAGGTTTGACATCATTTGATGTTATTGGAATTTTATAAGAAGATTGATCTGTTTCACCTTTAATAACTATATGGCCATAGTCAAAACCATTTACTGGATCTTCAATAACGATGGACCATCCGATAGTGGCATAGCTATTTGAACTATCTATATTTGTTTGGGGTAGTATTTTTTGTATTCTTTTAAACATTGGGCCATATAAATCCATCTCTAAAATAAAAAATATAGAATATTAATATTTAAAAATATTTGAAAATAAAAATTTTAATACTTACTTGATTTTTTAATTATTAATTGTCCATCCAAAGATTCGGAATTGATAAGTTTAAGACTAAAAAGTAATATAAAGGAAAAAACACCACATTGAGTATTGGCATCAACATAGAATTCAATTTGAAACTTTTGAATAGTTTTATTCCATGTTGAATAGAAAAAATTGTTTGGATCTAATACTTCTAAATTATTGGGGTTTGAAAGATATTCGGATCCTAATCTAAGCATTGGTATGTGCACATCTTTTGGAATATTATCTGGTAAACTAAAATACATAACATTATAATGTCTATGATTGGTAACATCAATATTATTATATAAAAATGATACGTCATAGAATGAAAATGAATTTACTAAAAAATAAAAAAAAATTAATAATTTTTTTTTCTAAAAAAATAAATTAATATATTTACTTACGATTACTAATGTGTGCTGGTGTTTTATATATTTTTAAACTGGGATTCATTGTAATTAAAGAGGGTGATACTAAGCTAAACTGAGAGCCATAGATATCAGTGCCTGTAAGAGATGTATCCAGAGATGTAAAAGTTACTAATTCATAAACCCCATCATATAAATCACCAGATACCAATAACTCTTTTCCATAAAAAGTATTCATTAATTGCAAAGCGCTTAATGCGGCGAATCCATATGGGGATTTGATATAGAGTCTTAATATATATGTATCGTCAATCAAATGAACGAGCTCGTAGTCATATATTACAGGTTTTAATGCTTGGTCATAGGAAGAAACATCTTTAAAAAAAAATTTAATAACAAAATTTTAAATTACTAATATGTGTATAAAAATAATATATTTACCTTTAATGGGGAAAGAAAAGCTATAGCCTGAATAGTCTATTATTGATTTGGTTTCAATATAAACAGAGCTTGAAATTTTGGAATTAAGAGGTACAATTGATGATACATTATAATTGTAACCATATGGTGATGTATAACTAAATCCAAATGGAAAATTTGTGAGTGATGAATATGATGAAACAGATAAAAACGTAGAGGGGAAATTAAAAGATTTTGTATCATTAAAACCAAAATTGACCATTGGTAAATCGAATGGATAGGGAATAAAGCCACCAGAATATGGGTATGATTCAACAGCATCTAATCAAATTAATTTTAATGAGTAAAATTTAAAAATTATTAGGAATGGTATATTATATTTTAAATATTAATAATATTATTATAAAATTTAATTTTATAATTTAAATTATTGGTAACTTACATTGGGTTATGTTTGCCGAAATGGAGAAGTTAGCTCTTTTAAATTCAGAATTTTGGATATAATACAACTCATATATATCATTTGGGCTCTGGAAATTTGAAATTGGGTAAATATATGTGGTACTATTTTCATCACCATATATTGGGCAGATTTGAGTATCTTTTGAGATGCCATTTAAATTGATTGTATAAGAGTTTTTTAAAGCAGTATTGTTTGAAGTGAATTGAAGTAAAACAGTTTCTCCATAACCAAATAATTGCACGTCTTCTAAATCTTTACCATCTGGGTATGTCTTTATATCGTATATATCATCAAACATCCCTAGGTTTTAAAAAATATAAATTAGTATTATAATTATTAGAATAGATATGCATGTTATTATAATAGAAAAATCTAATTAATTATTTACCTTTGCCAATTGGTTCTAAATTTACCTTTGTTCTTATACTATTGCTTGTCATAAATACATCGAGGGATGATAAATTCATATATGTTTTAAGGGTATCTGTATATTGGAATATATAATCTGCTGAGAATGGAATATTTTGAAAAACCATTGTATATGCATCATCATTACCATTAATAAATTGTAAAGGTATATCTGGATCCACATCTCCAACCATTTTATATATAGCACGTGTTGATAATCCTAAATTGCCACCATTAAGAAAATAGAAATAACCATTACTTATTAATTTGAATTCGACTTTTTCTAAATCCAATGAGAGACATTCACCTTCGATTAGATAAACATCATTGATGGTCACATTGTACTTTCCAACTGGATTGATAGTAGAAACATAAAACAATGAAGAAGTATCATTTGATATTAAAACTTCTGACGTTGAAATTGTGGAATTATTACTATAATGAAGAGTGGTACAATTATCACCTGGATCTGTTTCGACACATAAAAAAATATAACCCAAAGAACAAACAGTATATTGTGCATAAGCTTTAAAAGCATAATCTCCTGGTGTTACATTTTCAATTCTATAACCATAGCATTTAATTATAAAATTAATTGATAGAAAAAAAACAAAAAATAAAATAAAATTTTTTGTTATCATTTTTTTTTTTTAAAAGAATAAGTAATTTTTTTTTTTTTTTTTATATATTTCTATTTGAATTATTTTTTTAAAAAAAAAGAAAAAACTGTTGATGATGAATAAAATAAGAATTTTTTTTCTTTAAATAAAATAAAAAAATATAAAAAAAAAATAAAAAAATAAAAAAATTAAAAGAAAAAAAATAAAGTGGCAATCGTATCTTAAAAGAAAACCGATTGATGATTGAGCTCGCCTACTTTTAAAATTATCATGATACTTTTGTAATGATATTTTTTAATATCTTGCAATAGGAAAAATTATCTTGATTATTATAGGAGGTTTTATAAAAATTATAAATAAAAAAATAAAAATTATAAAAAAAAAAAACCTTTTCGAAAAAATATGGCGAATTGGTGTTTTGGAATGCGATGCTAAAAGTACATTTTAAAAATATGCAAATTGATAATAAATATCTTTGAAAAGATTTTTTTGAAAGATTTTTTTTAAATTTCTTTTTTTTTTTTTTTTTTTGAAAATGACAAAAAATTTTAAAAATGGATCGAAAATTGTGAATATTTAAATGTTGATGTTGTCGATGTTGTATTTTTTTAATTTTTTATTTTTTTTTGAATAAAATTTATTTTAAAGAATTAAAAATAGGAATAATTTTAAAATATTTTTAAATTTTTGGGATGGAGATTAAAAATACAAAAAGGAAGGTTATATTTTATAAAACCAACTTACATTTGTTGTATTTTAATGATATCAATATTTATGAGTATATAAATAAATAAAAATAATTATTATAACAAATAAAAATAATAAAAAAAATTAAAAAATTAAAAAATTAAAAAAATTAATTTTTAAATTTAAATAAAGTCAGGGATTTAATTTTTTTTTTTAAAAGGTTTCATTTATACCCATTTTAAGCTTGCTCTTTAATTATTTTATTTTTATATTTTAAAATTTTTAATAAAGGTTATAATAAATTAAAATATAAAAATAAATTAACCATTTATTAACCATTTACTTTAGAAACAAGACAATTAATTTTCTTTCATTGTATTTTGAAAAAGATTTTTTTTTTTTTTTTTTTTTTTCTTTATTATTTTATATTCATACAAATAATCATACATTTTTATTTTTTCATTATAATATTTGGCACATATAATAAATTTTAATAATTGCAATAATTTTTTATATTTATTAAATAATTTCCAACCCTACACTAAATCAAAATTCACATAACTTTATTAATTACCAATTAAAAATGAATAATTTAATAAATGTTTTTTCATTTCAGTTGTTACAGTGCCCGAGGAAAATATGTAGACCCCCTGATATTTTTATATATGTGTTATAAATTGATTAGTTTGGATAGTTTTTTTTAATAAATATTGACACAGCCTAAAAATAATAAAAAATGGTAATAAAAAAAAGTGTGGGAAATATGGGTAAAAAAAAAAAAATTAAAAAAATAAATTTAAATTTTTATCTCTTTTTTTTAATTTTTGAAATTTTAAAATTTTTTTTATATCATTTTAAATTTTTACAAACTGAAAATAATGCAAAAATAATTTCTAGAAAATAAACAAAATGAGGTTAAGTGATGAACTTCGATACTCAATATTATCATACAAAATCAGAGACCATTACTCAAATAGAAAAATTGCAAAAAAATTGGGTGTCCACAAAACAAAAGTGGCAAAAACAATTCAAAGATATGAACAAACAGGTTCAATCAATGACCATCAACGTTTTGGAAGAGAAAAAAAGATTCATGAAAGAGATGAACGTTTATTATGTTTCAAATTTTTGAATGGTGAGCTGAAGAATGTGAAATTAACAGTGGTTTGGTATTATTCAACAACTGGCCACACCAGATTAGACTGGTTAGTTAGAAACGTATTGCATAGGAATAACATTGTTTATAAAAAGAAATTCATGAAACCTCGATTATACGAAGTTAAAAGAAGAAAAAGATATAGTTTTGGATTTGACATAAAAACTGGAATGTGGACCAACGGGAAAATCATATGTTTATGGATGAAGTTAGGTTTCAATAATTTGATAAATACAATTATATAAGATCTTGGGTCTATGAATCTTATTTTTTACTAGATTCAAATACTTAAACAAGTGTTAGAAAAGGTGGAGATAAAGTAATGTTTTGGGGAAAATTTTGAATTATGTTCCTAAAAATTAAGATCATCTTTCATAGGCATTATATTCTAATCTCTATATTGATATAATAATAAATGATACACCACCAAATCTGGGTTACTATGCAGATACGTTACAGGTGCCTGGGAAAGTTCACGAAAATTGTCATGAGAATTTCTAATCTTATTCACCAAATATGATTAGGGAGTAAAACTGAAAATTCAAAATTTCAATTGATGAAATACAACCTTTAAGCCCCGATTTATATATAATAGATAATCAATGGCCATAAGATACTTAAATGTTCTCAATCCGAATGTTCAGTAAATCAAATCATAACCCGATCCAATGTCGCATTGATATTTTTCCTTACATCACTTCTGAGATTAGAAATAATTTTTATAAATCTTTTCCAAACAGAAAGGAGGCGATAATTAAAGCTCATGGGGAACATTCAAAATATTAGGTAAATTCATTTGTTAAAATCAAAAAATAAAAAAAATTAAAAATAAAAAAAAAAAATTTTTTAAAATTAAAAAAAAGAGATATTTATCTCTTTTAATTTTAATTTAAAGGTTTTAAAATGAATCTATGTAAAATGAAGTTAATTTATTAGCCTTACATTATATTTAAATATTATAATCTAAATATCTTTTTTCAATATATAAATTTAAAATCGGTGGGGTCTACATATTTTCCTCGGGCACTGTATCATCTCATTATTTTATTTTATTAATAAATATTTTGCTGACAACAATAATAACAATAGTAATAATTATAACATTAACAATAAAAAAAATAATAGCAACAATAATAATAACAACACCCTCACTCAAAATTCTATTCCAATCAACAATATTATAACTACTCAAATGTATTGTAACCAACACCCACACCAACAACAACAACAACACCCACAAAATGTAACCCCAAGACATCAGTCACCACAACTCCAATCTAATTACACACGTGCCCAATCACACCATCAATCACAATCACAATTATTTGATTCAAATTCTTCCCAATTAAATAATATCCCAAATCCACCAAAAGAATCATCTATTCCATCCAAATTTGCTCCAACCACCTCTCCATCAAGACCATTGGAATCTGATAACGAAACAACAAAAAGTGATAGAGAAATTTGCAAAAAACAAAAAACCAAAGATGAAGAATATGAAAAGCAAATTTTTGAAATGGAAAGATTAAAAGAAATAGAAAGAGTAGAAAAATTGCACAAACTTTGGGAAGAGTTTGAAAGAATTGAAAGAATTAAAATAGAAAAAGGAGATAGAGAAACTAAAGAAATATATGAAAAAATCAAATCAGAAAGATTATTAAAAGAAAGAAAAGAAAAAGATAGATTAGAAATATTGAGAATGCCAAGAATGCAAAAACATAAAGATATGCAATGGCACAAATCGAATTGGAAATGCTAAGAAGATTAGAAATAACTAAAAAAGAAAGATTAAAAGAAAGACTTAAATTAGAAGAAAGAATGGAAAGAGAACGTTTAGAAATGGATAACAAATGCACTATTTGTGTCAGCGAAATCGAGACCAGCCAAATAGCCACAATTGATTGCGTTCATAAATTTTGCTATGAATGTATTTTTAAATGGTCCGAACAATATAGAACCTGCCCAAATTGTAGAGCACCATTTGTTAACATCAAAGTAAGTAATTTACACATTCATATTTATACATAATATATAAAATATATATTAATTTATTTCATTAATAATTTATTGCAGAGAGTAGCTAATGTCGAAGGTTTATAGGTTAATGGGAATGAAGGTGAATATTTAGATGAAGATGACGATGATGATCTAATTTCGAATTTGTTGATTATTTAGATATCGATCAATATAGAATTTGATGTCGATTAGATTAATAGTTTAAATTCATTATTCAATATTTCGTTTAAGAAATCGATGAAGACTAAATTATTAATAAAATCGTTTCGTTCAAAGTTTCAATTATTGAAAATCGATGAAATTAAAAGTCACAACACTCACATTCGGTGATTATTTTAACCAAGTAGTTTCACCCGGAACATTACCAAATAGTCTTACAACACTCACATTCGGTCATTATTTTAACCAAGTAGTTTCACCCGGAACATTACCAAATAATCTCACAACACTCACATTCGGTAAAGGTTTTAACAAAGTAGTTTCACCCGACACATTACCAAATAGTCTCACAACACTCACATTCGGTGATTATTTTAACCAAGTAGTTACACCCGGAACATTACCAAATAGTCTCACAACACTCACATTCGGTCATTATTTTGACCAAGTAGTTACACCCGGAACATTACCAAATAGTCTCACAACACTCACATTCGGTTATGATTTTAACCAAGTAGTTACACCCGGAACATTACCAAATAGTCTCACAACACTCACATTCGGTCATACATTTAACCAAGTAGTTTCACCCGGAACATTACCAAATAATCTCACAACACTCACATTCGGTGATTATTTTAACCAAGTAGTTTCACCCGGAACATTACCAAATAGTCTTACAACACTCACATTCGGTGATTATTTTAACCAAGTAGTTTCACCCGGAACATTACCAAATAATCTCACAACACTCACATTCGGTCATTATTTTGACCAAGTAGTTTCACCCGGAACATTACCTAATAGTCTCACAACACTCACATTCGGTGTTAAATTTAACCAAGTAGTTACACCCGGAACATTACCAAATAGTCTCACAACACTCACATTAGGTCGTGATTTTAACCAAGTAGTTCTACCCGGTTCAATACCAAATAGTCTCACAACACTCACATTCGGTGTTAAATTTAACCAAGTAGTTTCACCCGGAACATTACCAAATAGTCTCACAACAATCACAAGAAAGAAAAAAAAATAAATAAGTTATTCCAATTTTGGTAAAAAGAGAAAAAAATTATGTCTAAGTCTTTTTCCATATTAATTTTATATGGTAAAAGACTTAAAAAAAATTCAATTTCTCTTACAAAATTTACATGGTAAAAGACTTCAAAATATTTTAATTTCTCGCATTAATCTATAAAAATCCAAATTTTTAAAAATCAAATTCCAAAATTTCATTTTTTCGCTTTTTTTCATATGTATTATATTTTATATTTGTAAATATTATTTTTTATTTTTGTTTCATAATTTATATATGGTTTTGTAGAAAATTATTTGTTGTGTTAATTTGTGTATCAGGTGTATTTTTTTGATCAATTTAAAAAAAAAAAAATTAAATCTAAAAGAGGATTGTACTGAACATTGTAAGGAGAAAGTGGCGAAAATAGTAGAGATGACAATAAAACAATAAATACTATACAATTTAAATATTTTTAAAATACAACTATTTTAATACTTTGAGTTACAAAAGTCATTGTAAAGGTCCATTGATTCGTAAAGAATAATCTAATAAAAGAGTAATTCGGAGCACAAATGGAGAAAGCATTAGAATTATAAACTTGTTAATATTCAGATTTCAATTCATCATTGTGTTACAAGTATATTTAGAAAGATAAACCTTGGATAATTATATAATTCACCCAATCGTTTTATAAAAAATATATACTATAAAATAAAAGGAATAATAAAATTATCAAATAAAAGTTAAAATATGTTAAATCTTTTTTTAAAAAATATTATATTTATAATAGATATTTAATATATAATCTTATAATTAAAAAATAACTCATATATATATATATAAATTAAATGAAATAAACTGAGGACTGATAATAATTGAACATTTAATTCTTTTAATTGATTATTATTTTTTATTTCTTTATTATAATTGATCGTTGATTAATTGAAGTAAAATTTTATTATTATAGAATTGATTGTGGTTATTCGAATTGTTATTAACTGATTGATTATTTATTTAAAACCATCTTATATTGTGAATATCTAGGATCTACTAATTCGACTTTTTTTGTTCCACTCCATTATAAGCCATAGAGAAAGAATTTTTTAATCAATTTCAATATGGGTCCACCCTCTAATTAATTTGAACTCCCTAGTTTTTTAAATAACATTGATTGGTTACAAAAGTGTTATAAAATCTTGTTGGATATAAAATTTCTGAGATGATCACTAAATATATTTTACATTTATGGCAGAAATGAGTCGTAAGGGAAAGGATCTATATAAGCAAGCGAATGCTGATAGTTGCTGATGATTGCTTTCTTTCTATTATAAACTTGCACTTGAACCAATGTCGTTAATTTTTAAAAATATATTTTTAAAATTTTATAATTTCTTATTTTATTTTTTAAATCAATTTTATAATTATTTATCTTTTTTTTTTTTTTTTTTTTTATTTAAATTTTTTTTTATTTAAAAAAAATAATTTTTTTTAAAATTTTAAACAAAGGTTATAATAAATTAAAAAATAAAAATAAATCAACCATTTATTTACCATTTATTAACCATTTATTAACCATTAATAAATTTTAAATATAATATTTTAATATGAATAAAAGACCACACTTTTTCCTTTTTAATTGAACACTGTTTAAAATTTTTTAATTTTTTTAATTTACTTTTTTTTTTAATTTTCTTTCATTGTATTTTGAAAAAGTTTTTTTTTTTTTTTCTTTTTATTATTTTATATACATACAAATAATCATACATTTTTATTTTTTCATATTAATATTCGGCACATATAATAAATTTTAATAATTGCAATAATAATTTTTTATATTTATTAAATAATTTCCAACCCTACACTAAATCAAAATTCACATAATAATATATCATATAGCTCATTATTAATTACCAATTAAAAATGAATAGTTTATTAAATATTTTTTACATTTTAGTTTCTATCATCTCATTATTTTATTTTATTAATAAATATTTTTCCAAAAATAATAATAACAATAGTAATAAAAATAGCATTAACAATAGCAATAATAATAGCAATAATAGTAATAATAACAACACTCTTACTCAACCTTCTATTCCAACCAACAATATTATAACTGCTCAAATTCATTGTAACCAACACCCACACCAACAACAACAACAACAACAACACCCACAAAATGTAACCCCAAAAGATCAATCACCACAACTCCAATCTAATAACACAAGTGCCCAATCACACAATCAACCACAATCAAAATTATTTGATTCAAATTCTTCCCAATTAAATAATAACCCAAATCCACCAAAAGAATAACCTATTCCATCCAAATTTGCTCCAGCCACCTCTCAATCAACCAAATTATCTGTCTATCCAACCTGCAAAAGTCCAATGAAGAAGAGACCATTGGAATTTGAAAATGAAACAACAAAAAGTGATAGAGAACTTTCCAAAAAACAAAAAACCAAAGATGAAGAATATGAAAAACAAATTATTGAAATGGAAATATTAAGAATTGATAAAGAAAGAGAAGAAAAGAAAAAATTAGAACAAATGGAAAGAATGAAAGAAATAGAAAGAGTACAAAGAATGTACAAAGAAAGGGAAGAATTTGAAAGAATGAAAAGAATTAAAATAGAAGAAAGAGAAAGAGAAATTAAAGAAAGATATGAAAAAATTAAATTAGTAAGATTACAAAAAGAAAGAGAAGAAAAAGAAAGATTAGATATATTAAGAATGCAAAGAATGCAGCAACAAAGAGAAAGATCAGCAAGAGCACAAATCGAAGGGGAAATACAAGAAAGAACAAGATTAGAAAGAATTGAAAAAGCTAGATTAAAAAAAGAAAGGGAAGAAAGACGTAAATTAGAACAAGAAAGATTGGAAAGAGGCCGTTTAGAAATGGATAACAAATGCACTATTTGTGTCAGCGAAATCGAGACCAGCCAAATAGCCACAATTGATTGCGTTCATAAATTTTGCTATGAATGTATTTTTAAATGGTCCGAACAATATAGAACCTGCCCAAATTGTAGAGCACCATTTGTTAACATTAAAGTAAGTAATTTACATATTCATATTTATACATAATATATAAAATATATATTAATTTATTTCATTAATAATTTATTGCAGAGAGTAGCTAATGCCAAATGTTTATAGGTTAATGGGGATGAAGGTGAATATTTAGATAAAAATGACGATGATGATCCAATTTCGAATTTGTTGATTATATATATCGATCAATATAGAATTTGATGTCGATTAGATTAATAGTTTAAATTCAATATTCAATATTTCGTTTAAGAAATCGATGAAGACTAAATTATTAATAAAATCGTTTAGTTCAAAGTTTCAATTATTGAAATCGATGAAATTAAAAGTCATCGACATCATCCAAGAAATAATCTCATCATTATCAACATTTATAATAAGTAATTATGAATCTCATTAGTTCTACTCAACAAACAAAGCTCAAAAAATTCTAAACGGTCCAAGGTCACTCATATAGCAAATAACTCATAAGGTAACTATAATTATAATATTTACATATTTATTATTATATTTGAATATAATGAAACTAATATTTAATTTAATTCTTAGTCAGTTTATATCCAATTTTTCATTTTTCCCGTTTCAACACGTTCTTTATATTGTATTCCTAAGGTAATTATAATAATAATAATATTTTCATAATTATTATATTTGAATAAAAAATAAACTAATATTAATTCATATTTAGTATAGTTCTTTCTCTTTCAGTACAATAAGCTCGTTTTTTAATGCCAACATTGGGGTATTCATAAGGTAACTATAATGTTAATATTTACATAATAATTTTTATATTTAAAAGTTAAAGAAACTAATATTTAATTTTAATATTTAATAAATATTATTTATTAGTTAAAATCTAATTCTTTCTTTTTAAATATCAACACATTCTAAATCAGAAATCGAACATTGGGGTTCATTATAATTATTTCTTTATCAAAATCAAATTGGTCCTTTTAATCTCAAATGGTCCATCAACAATTCAACAGCCAACACCTAGGATAAAAGTAGCAATCAAAATATTTCTTTAAAAAAAAATAATAAACTATCTAAATAAATAAATTCACATATAAACAAATATATAGCCAAATAATTCACTTTTTATGAAAAATTTGGTTTTTTTTTTAAAAATTATTATGATTTAATGTAAAATATTAATAAATTTACTAAAAATTTTATTTTTTTATTTTTTTTTATTTTTATTCAAATAGATAATCTTTTATTCTTTATGGTTGATATTTGATGTTCAAACTGTGTTGATATTCTATTTTATTAGTTTCAACTCTATTGATTATTCCCTTTATCATCCATAATCTTTGTGCTTTTGATATTCCAAATTAAATTAAAAAATATAGTTACAGTTTTGGCTTAAATTTACAATTAATGTAAAAGTGATTCTTATAGTGACCTTGATATCTAGTTATCCACTCTGGCGAAATTTTTTTTTTTTTTTTTTTAAAAAAGCTTGCTTAATAATATAATAATTATTTTTAGTGTAAGCGAAGGTGTTTAATTATAATAAAATAGTTTTTAAAAAACTCTGGAGAAATTAATACACCCTAAGTCAGTATCATTTCCATGGCAAAAGCGGAACATGCTTTTTGATTTATATTCCAAAGATTCCAAGTAATTACAGTAAGATCAATGAATTTCAGAATTTTTTTTTGTTGAAATTTCTCCCAAAAGATCATATGGAAGATAAACCCCCATAATGAAAAAAGGAGTATTCCGAGCGGGAATCGAACCCACGACCCTTACCGTGTAAAGGTAATGTGATAACCAACTACACCATCGAAACTGATATGATAATGATTCAAGAGCTTCCATATTTGTATTTGGTTATATTATATCTAATAAACACTTGTTAGCCAGTGACACCACGAAATGTTGTAAAATGGGTAGAATTTAACAAGAAAACATGAAAATAATACTTAATTGAGTGAAAATACCCATATACCTTAAAAATTACAAAATATAGTCGTTGAGTTACAAATAAAAAACAATTCTAAATTAATTAATTGGTAAATTTCAAGCTTTTAAAACTAATTTATATTTTTATTAAAAATATTAAAAGTTTAAAAAAAACAAAATTTTTAAACTTTGCTAACAACTAAAATAACAAATGCAATTGTACTAACTAAATCATTTTACAAATCAGTTTATTTTTATCGAATTTTTTAATTTTAAATTTATTTTTTATAAACTAGTTTACTCATAAATAAAATATTAAATAAATATAAAAATTTTATTAAAAAATAAAATTATTAAAAAAATATTTTTTATTTATTTTTTTAAATTAAAAAAATAAATTTTTGATTTTTTGATTTTTTTATTTAATTTTTTTTTTATTTTCCATTTTACATTTTTTTTAAATAAAATATTTTATTAAAAAAAATATTTAAAAAGAAACTTAAATTTATTAAAAACTTTCAAATAATACTAATTATAATCTAGATAATAAATTATGAGAAAACCATAAATCATTGATAATCAAACACCCACAATACATTACTAACTACAACACTATATAACATCATTATTCATCATATAAAAAAAAAAATTTTCAAATAATATATTTTTCGTACAAGCACTGTGGGTTTAAAAATTTTTGATATTTAAAAATTAGATCAAAGTGTGTTAATGCTGTATTGAGGTTTGCGTGTGGGTGTGCTATTTTTTTTAGTAAAAAGGGTTTAAAATAAAAAAACAAATAATAAAAAGAAAATAGTTATAAAGTATTAAAAACAATGAACACATAAATAAAATAAAATATTAAAACACATATTTATAAAGTAATAATAATAATAATAGTAATATTTTCAATTGTCATTACAATAAAAATTTATAAATAATAATTGAAAAGTATTTTTAAAATAAAATGATGTTTTTTATAATAATAATAAAAAAATAAAATAGTATATTTATCTGTAGTTTTTTTTTTTTTTTTTGGATAAAGTTTTATTTATTTGTTTTTTTTTTTTTAAAAGTATAATATTTCATTTTAATTACTCACACACATACAAGCACACACACATACACACAAAACATAAAGACACACAAAACACTATTACCCACACTCAATATATATATAAATTTGATATAGATCCTCATGTAGAGAGACAAAAAAACAATAAAGCAATATGTAATAAACACATACACATCTAAAAATAGGATTAAAAATTTTGTTTTGTGGGTGTGTGGGGGTGAGTAACTATCTATATATCCCCAAGCATGTTTTACAAAATTTATTTTTTTATTTTTAATTTTTAATTTTTTTATTATTTTTTTTTTTAACCCTGTTGTTTTTTTTTTTTTTTTTTTGAAAAGTTTCTATGTATTATTAAAATCATTTAATTTATTTTAATTTATTTTTATTTATTAGTTTATTTATTCATTATATTATATATATTTATATTATACTTTTTTTAATATTGTTATTTTTGTTATCACAAAACACAAATACTACAAGTTTAAAATAATATTTTTTAACCATTTTTAATATTTTATTTTTAAAATTTTTTTTTCAATCCAAAAAATTTAAAAAAATTTTAAAAAAAAAAAATACATTTTATAAAAAAATCAAAATTTAATTTATATAAAATTAAATAAACAACAATTTAATCAATTAATAAATCATTAATCATAAAAAATAAAACCTTTTTTTTTTTTTTCTTTTTTTTTTTTTTTTTTCTTTTTTATATTTTTTCGTCATTATAAAAGAAATGAGACATTTCAATGTAATGATAATTGGTTCTCACGAATCAGGTAAATCAACTATAGTCAACACATTTAAAGAAGGGTTTTTTTTATGGGACTATAATCCAACAGAAGATACAAATATAGTTTCAAAAAATTATTTGCAATATCAATTTAATATTTTCGATATGGGTGTGTAACATTTTAACAAAAACACTTAATTAAAACTAGTATTAACTATTTTTTTTTATTAATTTTAGCAATAGATTCATTAAATAAAAAGATAAATTTATTGGCCTTTGAACATTGTCAAATGTTTATTATAACGTTTTCATTACATGTAGAAAAGACAAGACCCTATGTTAAATTTTATTTTGAACTAATAAAAAAGATTAGAAAAGATTTTGCAGATATACCTATTGTTATTGTGGGAACAATGAAGGATCTGTATTGTACAAGTAGCGAACAAGAAATTAAAGATTTATTAAATGATTTAGGTAAAAAAAATATACAATTCCTGACAACATCTGCAAGATCAATTGAATCGATAGAATTGGTTTTTAACAATTTATTATATCAAATGTATTGTATAGAGAATTTCAATAGCATCAATAATATATTAAATAATTTCAGCAATAATCAATTAAATCAGAGTAATAATCTGAATCCATCTTTAAATTTATCACAAACAAATAATATAATAAACAATATAAATAAAGAATTATATAACAGCATTAACAATAATTATAATAATAGTATCAATAACAGTATAACTTATAGCAATAGTAACAATGCAATATACAGCAATGGCAATAGTTCATGTATAAATAGTAATTACAATATCAATAGTAACCATAACTTTAAAGAAAGAGAAAAGGAGAAAGAAAAGGATAACAATAAAGAAAACTTAAAAGAAAATATAAATATTGAAAAACATTCAAATACCAGTAATCACCAAAAACACTATTCACCAGACACAAAGAAATCCCTATCATCCCTATCTCTAAATTCTGCAACCACTACAACAACAATTGTTACCACTACAACAACAACAACAACCATTACAAAACAAAAAAGGATACAGTGGAATGATGTTCATTCAAAATTAAATAGGTTATATTCAATTAAATAATAATTATAATAAAAAAATATTATATTAATCTTTTTTTTGTAATATTTTAAAACAATTATATAAAAAAACCCCAAATGTATTATAAATAAACACACGATTTAAAAAAAAAAACAATGTTTGTTTTTTTACTACTTTTTTAAAATAATATAAAAAAATGTGGTTTTCTTTACAGTATTTTATGTGAATGTTTGGATGTGGTTATCTATCATCATCATCAAAACTAGATCTCATACACACAAATACACACTCCCATATTTTGAATTTTAATTTTTTTATTTTTTTATTTTTTGTGAGGGGTCTATTTTTGTTTCTTTTTTTTTTTTTTTTTAAAAAAATAACCTAAATCAAATTTTAACAATATAAACTATTTAATTTTACCCAAACATATGTAAATGTTTTTTTTTTTCTTTTTTTTTTTTTTTGTTGTCCAACAAACATTATTATTTCATTAAAAATTACAAATACACTTAAATTACACCCACCCACCCACATTTTCACACACACACTTCTTACTCTTCAATATTAATATATAACAATTCGTAAAGAAAAATTATAAATAAACATATAAAATTATAAATAAACTCTTATTATACAATTTTATTGTTGTTTTTGTTACATGTTGTTTATTTTTAATATTATTAATTTTTTTTTTTTTATTTTTTTTTGTTTTTTTGTTTTTTTTAAATTAGCTTTTTTTATTTTTTGAAAATTTTTTTATCTATTTCATAATTATTTATTTATATACATAAAAAAAAACAAATCAATTATTTGTAATAAAAATAATAGCTATAATTAAATTATTTTATTATAATTAATATTACAAAATTTTTTTATAAATTTTTTTTCTCAAATATTTCAACAACAATGGAAATTGATGATCACTATAAATTTATAATTGGCGATGATGTTGAAGAATCAATTACAAAAAACAAACCAATTGACAAATTAAAGAAATACATCATATTTTTTGATAAGGTCGAACAAAAATTTCAACACCAACCAGAAGTTTATAGAAAAGTTATTAATACTATAAAAGAATGTAAAGATAAAAAGAACCTTTCCAAAGTTTACTCTCAAATCCTCAAACTAATTCAAAATGAGCCAGAACTTATTAATGAATTCAACGGTCTATTTCCAGAAAAATTTTTGAATGAATATAAAAATATAATGGAAAATGAAAGATATAAACAATTTGATAAAGAATTAGACGCACTCATTTGTTCACAATAAAATAATAAATAACAAAAAATAAATAAAATAAAAACTGTAAATTAAAAATAAACCCCTAAAATTTTGATCATCATTTCAAGATTTATTATTTAAATCTTTTTAAATACTATTTTTTTTATTTTTTTTTTTTAAGAAATTGAAAAATATTATTTATTATTTTTTTAATTTTAAAAAAATAAATATATTTATTTTTTTTTTTTAATTTTTTTATGATTTTTTTTTTATTTAAATTTTTTTTATTTTAATTTAAACAAATATACAATGACTAAAAATATAAATAATAAACAAAACAACAACAATAATAACAATACCTCTAATAATGGATCACAGTCACCAAGTTTAACAGATGATATACGGTGTCCATCTTGTCAAAAAACATTTTTATTTATACATATAGATAGTCATATAAATCAATGTATCGACCAAAAAAGCAAAGAAGAATTAATTAATAATAACAATAATAATAATAATAATAATAATAGTAATAATAATAGTAATAGTTATAATAGTAATAATAATAATAATAATAATAAAATACCGAATCAATCACAAAAAAAATTTAATATAGAGGATGACATTGATCTTGATTTAGATGATTCCGATATCATTATATCTCCAAATTCTCCTCAACAATCAGAACAAATTTTATTACCACCATATGATGATGAATTCAATAACAAAAAAAATGACAAAAATATCAGTATATCCAACCCATTCCCCACACAAAATACATCAACAACAACAACCAACACGACTACAGTTTATAAATCACCACAAAAAAACTTTTCCTATACATTTCCTTTGAAACCAAAAGCCAAATCTCAAACAAATTCAAAATCCATTTCAAATTTTTTTAAACCTTTAAATAATGAAAATAATAATAGTAATAATAACCCTATTGTATTAGACCCATCACCAGCAAATAATAATAATAATAATAATAATAATAATAGTAACAATAATAATAATAACAATAATAACGATTTTAAATATAGCTTTCAAAAAAATTTTGATAAAAAAACAATATTTAATAAACCATTGGCAGAAATTATGAGACCAACTGAATTTTTAGATTTTATTGGTCAAGAAGAATTAATGCACAATTCAATTATATTAAATTTATTTAAGAGTGAATCACCACCATCAATTATTTTGTACGGTCCACCAGGCTGTGGTAAAACAACATTAGCAAAGATTATTACTAAAAAATCAAATGCAAATTATTTAGAATTATCTGCTGTAGGCTCTGGTGTTAAAGATGTTAAAGAAGCTATCGATAAAGCCAAAAACTCTCTAATGTTTGGTAAAAAAACAATCTTGTTTATAGATGAAGTAGGTATCAATAGTTATATTGTGTTAATAATATAAAATTTTAAACTAAACCAAACTAACCTTTTTATTTATAATAATATTAGATACATAGATACAACAAATCGCAACAAGATGTTTTATTACCAGCAATAGAATCAGGTACAATTATATTAATAGGAGCAACAACTGAAAATCCATCATTTGAAATTAATAATGCTTTATTATCAAGATGTAAAGTATTCAGGTTAGAGAAACTTTTAAAAAAAGATATTATTGAAATTATTAAAAGAACAATCGAAATGACACCATTAATACACGAAAACCTAACATTAGATTTAGAAGATGGAACCATTGAAACACTCGCAGAAATCAGTGAAGGTGATGCAAGAGTAGCAATAAATGTTTTAGAAATGGCCATTAAAGCATTCAAAAACAATTTATCTTACGAAGAGGAATTAGAAATTAAGAAAAAAGGTTTAAAAAAAAATATTCAAGTCTCTAGGAAACAATTAGGTGTATTATTACAAAGAACAAGTCTTATTAACGACAAGCATGGTGACTCATTTTATGAATTAATTTCGGCATTGCATAAGGCAGTAAGAGGAAGTGACCCAAATGCCACTGCATACTGGTGTGTACGTATGCTAGAATCTGGTGTATGTATTTAATTTTTTTGAAAAAAAAAAAAGAAAACAAAACAGATACTAATTAATCTTTTTTTAAAAGTTTAATCCTATTTATATTGCTAGACGTATGATTCGTATGGCATCAGAGGACATTGGATTATCTGATAACACCGCATTACCTTTAGCTGTGAGTGCTTTCAATGCGGCCCAATATATTGGAATGCCAGAATGTTCATGTGCTATATTACAATGTGCAGTTTATTTAGCAAGTGCCCCAAAATCAAACTCTCTTGATCTTTGGTATGCAAAAACTAAAGAATATTTAGCAAACAACTCATCACCACCAGTACCAATTCATCTTAGAAATGCACCAACAAATTTAATGAAAAGTTGGGGATATGGAAAAGACTATCAGTATAATCATGCATTTGATGATCAATCATTAGTAACACAATCATATTTGCCAGAAGAAATTAAAAGAGAAACTTTTTTCGACTATAAACTAACATGCATGTCTTTAAAAGATAGAATGAATAATGAAGGTTATAGAAATGATGAAATTCAAAATAGATACAATAATAACCCCAACAAAAAGCAAAAAATAGATTCAAATAACAATAAATCAAATAATACAAATAATGATACCAGTTTTATCGATGATGATTCTATAGAATCTTTAGAATCTTCAGATTTTAAACTTGATTCCTAAGTACTTTTTAAATAAAATATTTAGATATCTTTTTTTTTATTAAATTATATTTTTTTATAAATAAAACTTTAGGTTTGGTTGAATAATTTTTTAAAAAAATTTAAAATAAATATTGATAAATTACAAACTTTACTTTTATTTTAGATTATAAATTAAATTTAAATTTATTCCAAATAAAAATACTATTATTTATTTTATTTTTTATATATTATTATTATTACGTTTATAAATTATCTAACCAAATTGATTTAAAATCGGAACGTTGCTTAATAAAAGCAATTAAATCGGATTTTTGAACTCTTGCAAGAATACCATTTTCGATAATATCTTTAAAACTATCTGGACCAACCAAAAATAATTTTGAAACTTCAAATAACATTTCAAAAGCATCATCAACTTTATGACTCTTGAATGATTTCAAAGTGGATCTGTATTCTGTCAAATCTTTAATTAACTTAAGTGTTCCTGAACCTTGACCAATTTTAAATTTCTTAAAATGATTTAAAAATACCCTATAAATAAATAAATAATATATTAATATATAAAAAAATATAAAACTCTATTGAAAATTATTATATAATAAAAGCTTACACTTGAAGTTTTAGGCCAAGCTCTTCAACAAAGATATGGAGATTTTTACCTTGAAGACAAGACTTTGCAATTTCATAGAATGATTGAATTAATTTTGTTACAGAGTTACAAGTTGGTGTTGTGGTATCATCATCCATTTCATTTTGGTAATCGGTTCTTTTTTGATCTACTAAAGCTTTATCTACAAGCTGTACCATTAAAATGAGTGAATTTTCTAAACCATAATTTATATTATTTTCTAATGAAGAGATGTTAAAGTAAAGCTGATCTGAGCATTGTGATTGAACATTAATTGATGTTTGAATATGTGGTAAAACATGTACTTGGAATAAAGTTTGAATTTGACCAACGATTTGATTTATACCTAAAATAACTCTAAATAACTGTGATATTGCTTGAAAACATCTTGAATCATTAACCATTGGTAACTTAATATATTTTTCTAAAACAAATGTTATGTAATCTTCAAATAAATATTTTAGCATTAAAAAGAAAATACTTTTAATATTTTCTGGTCTAAATTAATAAAAAAAAAAAAAGTTAATATTATTTATTATTGTTAAAATTATTTTAAATTTACTTACAATGAACCTTCTGGCGAGAGTGTATAACTACGGGCTAGGGCATTTTCAGTCTGTTGTACAAAAGTTTGTGTAATTTCGTGATTTAATCCATCCTCTTCATATTCAAAAGCTTTTTCTAATCCTGTTAAACGGTCACATTCCTCGCTAAAAGTAGCATCGAATAAGTTTGCAAGATGGCCCCTTTCCCTTTGGATATAGCCCTCTTGATATGTATAAAAAACTGAATTTAATAATTGATTTAAATCCACACCACTAATACCCAAGTGTGACAATGGCTCTACTAATAATTTCTTTGTGCTATTGTATGCATACTGTGTAGTTTGAAGATACATCGATGTATTATTAGCCTCGATATTTAAAACATTCTCTATAAATCCTCTAACACGTTGTTCAAAAACTCTAACAATTAGCATTGCCATTGCTGATGTTTGATTTACAAATACACTTTGAATAACATTTTGTTCATGCTGAATATCTCTGAGTATATCTGAAAAGAAAATTTCAAATCTTGAATCAATAATATTATTACCCCTAATTCTAAATTTAATTTAAATATTAATATATTTAGGTAAATATAATAGGAAATGAAATATATAACTTACTGTCTTTTTGATGTATTATTTGCTAATGTTTCATCTTTTCTTAAAATGTCTATATCAAAAAACATTTTAATTTTTTGAACATAACGTGATCTGCAAGTTTCACCACCATTGAAATTATATAAAGTTGAAGCACATTGTTTCATTTTTTCAAAATCGTGTCTATCTGCAGCACGTTCAAATTGGTCAAGTAAATCGTTTTCTAAAATATTTGAAAGTGACTCAGTTTCCTGTTTACCCTTCTTAAAACCTGATATTTCTTTTATATCCTCTGATACACTTGAAAGTTTTTTAACCAGATGTGCTAATTCGTGAATACGTTCAGAGTTTGTAAAAATATCTGAACGCTTTGATGATGACTCGTCGCTATTTAACTCTAATAAATAATTGATTAATGAAAGGGCGCCTTGTGCTTTAACTTTTTGTTGATTTACTGAATCTAATTCATCTCCAAAATGAACTGCTTTTGTACCAATTGTATTAACACCTTTTTCTAATTTCTTAAAATGCTGGAAACACTCTTGATATGACCCTAATAAATCCTGTAATTTACTTTTATATTCTAAACTAAAATCATTACATTCTTCTGCTAAATCGTCTAATTTTCTATCAATCTAAATAATGAATTATATTAATATTTATTTATATTTTAAAAAAAAAAAATATATTTACTTACATTACTTTCAAGTTGTGACAATTGTAATTGTGTGTTTAAAAACAATGTATTAAATGGAGCTGGCTCAAACTTTAAACCATCGACTGTATATTGATCATTTACTAATTTTCTTGTTAAATCTTCAACAAATGAAACATGTGAAAAATCTACACCTCTAAACATATCTGTTGTAAGAACTTTTTGTTGAATTTTTTGTTGAAATTGATATGGTACACCAGTGGCTGTAGTTGGTCTTGAAATTGATGTGGGTGGAAATGCTGAGGTATTTGATCTTGATTGCATTGGTGATTGTGATGGTGATGGAAGTGGGGATAATGATGGTGATGTATTTGGCTTTGGTGTATTTGATGATGATGGGTTTGGTATTAAATTTGATGATGGAGTTGCTGAAATAGTTGTATTTGCCATCATTGTTGTAACATTATTAATTTGACTTGATGTTGCTGCATTTGTAACTTTTTGAACTGATGAGTTAGAACTTGTACTTAGAGTGGTGTTTTGTGTTATGCTTGTTCCGCTTGTTTTTAGTAATGAAATAGGTGATGGTGGTGCTGCATTTGCTATTGGTGTTGTAGTTGGTGATGCACTTGGTGACACTTTCTGTACTGGTTGTATTGATGGTGATGGTGCTGGTGATGGTGATGTTAATGTTTGTGATTTATTATCATTTCCTGCTACTGGTACTGGTACTGGATTATTTAAAGGTGCTGGTTTATGTTGTTGAAATTGTTGTTGTTGTTGAAACCTAGTTTGAATATTTCTTGCCCATGACATTATATTAAACTATTAATTATTTAAAATAAATAATTAAATTTACTTTATATAATATAAATAAGAAATCAATAAATATACACAAAATAATTTTAATTATGAATATTAAAATTAAAAAAAAAAAATAAAAAAAAATAAAAAAATATAAAAAAATAATTTAAAAAAATATTAAAAATATTAACAAAATAATTTTTATTAAAAAAAAAAAAAAGATTTTTTTGGGTGGTTAATCACTATAAAAAATAATAACAATAAAAGTATAAATATATTCTATTAAATAAATTTATACAAGCTTGTTATATTATAATAATTTTATTCCTAATTTTGTTATTTTTACTTTTTTTTTTTATTTTTTTTTTTTATTATTAAAAGCACACAAAAACATAATACAAAAAACTAATTATATTTTATTTAGAAATAAATAAAATGATATTTTAAGTCCAATTTAAGATAAAACTAAAAAAAAATTGCAAAATCAAATATGTTTATATGTTAAAATTTTGATATGTAAAACAACGTTTTTCGTTTTATGAGCGTGGGGAAATGAAAAAAAAAAATTTAAAAATTTTTAAAAAAATTTTTAAAAATTTAATTTTTATTTTTTTTTTTCAATTTTTTTTCATTTTGTTTGATTTGATATTCCGTGACTCAAAATGGTATGGTGTTATCTCTTGACAAATTTTATCTCTTTTTCTATCTATCCATGTTAATTTCCAAAGATTAATCATGATCCATATTAATCAATCTTTAATCTTTATAGCCAAGCCATAAAACCTTAAAAGTCAAAAAAGTCTTAGGTAAAGCCCAAAAGGTAAGTTTATACATATAATCCACAAAACAAAGATATCCATACGAATAGAGATTAATCTTTTTCCTTTTCATCACTATAGTGCAACAGATCAGTTCCAGGCTGGATCCGTTTAAAGACTGATAACAAAATCAGATACAATAACAAAAGAAGACACTGGGTATGATTACATTAAATGATAAAAAATAGTGCAGAATACATACTAATATAAAAATTTTAACAGAGACGTACTAAATTAGGTATCTAAACGCTTATTCGAAGAATAATAATAATTATAGTACAAATAAAGATTTCATGTCTTGCCTATAAAAAATTTAACGGTTTTTTTAATCAAAAAAGAACGAGTATTATTTATTTTTGTTTGGATTAAGAAATTGTGAAAAAAACAGTAAAACTGTGATTATTTTTATTAAATAGGGTTTTTTAGCGGCAGAGGTATTATATATTGTTTATTTGTGTTATATTATGTTAAAATTATTATTATTGTTATTATTACTATTATTGTTACTACTATTATTATTATTATTGTTTATTTCAATTGCTAAATCTATTAAATCTAAAAATACTTCGACTTGTGTGTTTATATTTTGGTTGTTTATTTCTTTTTCTTCGATTAGGTATCTTATGTTTTCATATTCGTTCATAGCAATTTCCATTAGATTATCTATTCTATCTTTACAATTGGTCATGCAGTAATATATTTTTTTGAAAACAGCAGAGTCAGAATCGACTTCTAAATGTTGATGTCCACAATGGATTGGCAAGCTCGAAACACAACAAGGGCATACCAGGGCAGTACATTCGACACACACCATACTTAGTTTATAATTAGTATGGATTTGGCAATAGTATTGATTATTATTTATATTTATATTTATATTTATATTGTTATTATTATCATCGATCATATCCACACTTTCAAACTGGGGTGTGAATATTTCTTCGAATGATGATAATGATTTATTTAAATTAATTTCGAAATTTGGAAAATCCATTTTAAAAAATAAAAAAAATAATTTATAAAAATATATATATAAAAAAATAAAGAGATAAGATTTATAAATAAATAATTATTATAAATAATTGTTATAAATAAATTGTATAAAATGTATAAAATGTATAAATTGTATAAATTGCGTAAATTGTAAAAAAAACGAAAATAAATAAAATAAAAAGTGTAATTATAGTTTTTTTTTTTTTTTTTTAGATTTTTAATTAAACTATTTTATTAATTTTCATCAATGAATGAAATAGAAAATGAAAATAATTTAAATTATTTATAGTTTTTTTAAAAAAAACAAAAAAAAAATATTATTTAAATTTAATTGTTTTTATTTATATTTAATTTATTTATTTTTGATGACTAGATAACTGGTGAGTGTGTTGTGATTGTATTTTAGGTGAATTATAAATTAACAACAACAATAAAAACATCAAAAATACACACACACATAGAGACACATATTTACTCGCTCACACATAAAAACACATTGTGAAGAGTTGTAACCTAACTCACCAAAAATAAAAAAATACACACACAATATAGATAGATATATAGGCATTCTATTTATTTTTTTATTTTAATTTTTTTTTTTTTTATTATTGTTTGTTTTTTAAATAATTTAATTTGAGAATTAGATGGGGGCAGGTATTTTTATTAGGAGGCACCACATAGTATTTTTTTTAAAAAAAACAAATTTACACCCACTTTTTTTTAACCACTATTAATATAAAAAATAAAATTTATTTCATCTATGTGTACATCTCACAATATCTTTCAAGTTTTTTCACTCTTCAACTCAAACACACTGCATATTGTTGGAATTGTTGATTTAAATAAAAATTAAGTTAGTTGATATTAAGAGAATTTTATTATAATAATATAATTATTATAATATATTAAAAAATATATCATCACACACACACTAACACACTCCTAAAAACACACACGCTCCAATTAATTAATTTTTGGAAAAAATAAAAAAGAAAAAACAACACATGTGGGTTGTTTTTTAATGTGCAAATTACCTATAAAAATAAATCTCTTTTTTATATTCTAAATATATAATTTCAAATCCCTTAATTTTAATCTCAAAAGTTAAGATCTTTTTAAAATACTTTAATTTTTGAAATTGTATATCTATTGGTGAAAAAAAAAAAAAAGTGTTTTTTTTATATTAAATTAAACCACTACTCAAAAAAAAAAACAAAAAAAAAATTAAAAAACTTAACTACTTTTATATCTACTAATAATATACAATTACTATTATTACTACCACTAATGCAATTACAACTACCACCACCAACACATCAAAAGTATTAATAGTAGCATTTGTAGGAACCTTTTCTAATTGAAAAACCTAAATTGGTTTTTTTTGTTTTTTTATTTTTTTTTTTCTTTCTTCCAGTCTTTGTATACAAAGATTGAAAGTGGGTGTTGGTTTTTCAATTGGGGGTTATATACTAATAATGATATAAATAAAATAAACTACATTTTTTATAAATGGTTTGTGTTTTAATGATATTATGTTACAAGGAAACTTTATTATGTTTTTTATTTTGTGTGCACACTTAGTTAAATGTAATATGATGAAAAGAAAGTTATTAAGGTGGTGCTTCTATATACGAGTCTGGAAATTTCTAATTCTACATAGTTATTTGTTGATTTATTGTTATTATTAGTTTAAAAATTATTATTATTATTATTGTTAAACTTATGTGTTTTATTTTTTTAATTATTCTATTATTTTTATTATATTTGATTTTTGCCAATTAGTTTTTGCTTAAATTGGAGGTAGTATCTATATATATTTTAAAATAGGTATAGTATACTTGTTTTCTCATCTTTTTTGATTATAATTTGGTTTTTTTAAATTATTAATTAAATTTAATTAATTAATTGGTGAAATTTAATAGAAATATGATATTTATATTGGTATTATTACATTATCATTATTATATTATAATTATTATTATTGGTTGCGATTTTTATTATTATTAATTTTACATTCTTGGAGTAATTGGTATTGCTTCACTAAAAGTAGTTGTTGTGGTAGTTGTCGTGGTAGTAGTTGTGGTAGTAGTTGTTGTGGTAGTTGTGGTTGATCTTTTATAAGAGACATGAGAGTTGGGTTCTTGAATTTTATTTTCTAAAGCCCACTCTAATAAACATGCTTCAAAGCCAGGGTTGGGTTCGGATACAGGACGCGCAATTTTAACCATATCTAAGGCTTTCTTTAAGCAACATCTTTCCTTTTTCATAATCCATAAACAACATAAACAGGTGCTTCTACTAATACCCTTATTACAATGAATTAATACTACTCCATCGTTTTCCATGGCACGCTCTATAAAGTCAATTGTCTTTTCAAAAATATCAGATATTTTTTCGTTTACGTTGTCCTTTAAATCTAATTTCAAATATTCGAATTGACCTTCATATACATTCTGATAAGAGTCTGAGGCGTTGATAATATGTGTTATTCCATTTTTTTTTAATATTTCTAATTTTTCTGATACATATCCACCACTGATGTATAATCTATCATTAACCTTTGAACAAACTTTTTCATATTCATACATTATCATTTTTTCTTTATCAACTTGAAAGCTATGTAGTTGTTTAATATCGTTCATATTTAGTTTAAAATTAAACTTTGATATGGTTGGGATTTTTTTATTGGCACTATTTTCAATATTGTTAATATCACTGTTATTATTATTATTACTATTAATACTACTACTGTTATTATTATTATCATTATTATTATCATTATTGTTGTTGTTTATTACTTCAATGGGTTTATTTTTTGGTACAATTAGTGGGGGTATTTTTAATGAAGAGGATGTTGTTTTTGTGGTTGTTGTTGTAGTTGTTGATATTGGTGTTATGTTTGTTTCTATACCACTATTGATATTGTTGTTGGTAGCTATATTACTGTGAGCATTGTTGATGCTATCTTTGATATTACTATTGTTTAATATTGATGGTATTATAGGAGTTTCTAAAATATTAATTGATTCATTATTTGTATTTTCTATTATTTCACAATTATTATTATTATTATTATTTTCATTTATTATATTTTTACCCTCTAAATTGTTACCATACAAAGTAGAGGTGGATTCGATACTAATGTTTATTTCTATTTTGTTTGTAGTGGTTGTTTCTAAATCATCTAAAGTATTATTTTTATTGTTATTATTTTTAAAATTATTTATTGTTTTTAATTTTTTTAACGTTTCCCCTATCTTTTTATCCTCTCCGTCTATGGTTGAACCAATCGATGATATATTTCTTTTTAAATTTATCATTATAATCTATTAATATGAATATTTAAAAGTGATAATGGTTAGGTAATTGTATTAAATTTGATCTGCGATTACTATTTTATAATTTAAAATTAATTACCTTTTTTTTTAATGTGAAAAAAAAAAAATCTTGTTTGGTTATGGATTTTATTGTTGTGATTTAAAAAAAATATCTAAAACAGATAAGTTTTTTTTAAATTATTTTTTTATTTTTTTTATTTTATTGTTATTGGGTGGAATGTGGGTATCAATAAATGAATAAATTATAATTATTATAAAGTGATATTTATTTAAATATATGTTTTGAATAGAGTGATGCTATAATATAAAACTTATAATAATATATTGATAGTTTAAAATAATAAATTTAAAATCAAAAAAAAAAATATAAAATATATTATAAATTAATATAAATTATAACAAAAAATAAAAAAAATTAAAATTTATATATATGTGTTTTTTTTTTTTTTTTTTAAACAAAACACACACCCACAACCCCGCATATATAAGTAAACTGCTCTTAATGGTTGAGTGAGTGTGTGCTGGTATATTATCTCTAAATGAAAAAAAAACAAAAAAAATTAAAAAAATTAAAAAAAAAATTATGAAAATAAAAAAATTTAAAAAAATAAAAAAGTTTTTTTTGAAAAATAAATTTATTCAATACCTTTTTGAAATAATTATTATGTAATTAAATGTGTGTGGGGTTTGTTTTTCTTTTTCAAGTTTAAAAATAGAATATCTCAGTCTCATTCTCAAACACATTATTTTAAAAGGAAATTATCATGCATAAAAATCGAAAAATTTTTTCGAAGATTTAAATAAAAACTTTAAATTTTGAATGAGTGAAAAGTGTGGTACATTAAATTATAATAATAATAGACAATATTTATAGTGACAAGTAAAAATAAAATTAGAATCACTTCATTCAACACACAATTTAAAAAAATATCAACAATACATATATATAAAGGAACACACAGTCACACCCACACCACACCAAATAACAAGCATATTTTCACTCACTTTTTTTTTTCTTTGTGTATATTTTTAGATACAAGATAGTTAATTAATTTATTTTTAGTTCATATATCTCTTCTCATATGAAAAATGAAAAGGAATTTAAAACAATTATTAAAAAAATAACTTGTTAGTATTTAAAAAATGAAAAGGTAATTTGGGTGAAAAAAAAAAGAAAAATAAAATAAAAAATTTAAAAAAGAGATGGGAATGGGAATAAAATAAAAAATATTAAATTTAATTTTACCA